CGGACAAAAATTACTCTAGTTATCGCGTTCACGGACGTATATATATATAAGTCTATATATATATATATAAGTATATATATATATATATATACAAATATATATATACATATATAAAAATTTGAACGAATAGTGTTTTTGTCCTCTGGGGACATCAAAATGAAAAAGTAAATCGGTCCCGGGTCTAGGTCTTACCGTGCCACCTACGGTAATAGCTACTTCCCTATAGGGAAATTCGCTAAAATACTTGTCGAAGCGGGTCATAAAGAAGGAAAACGTTCTTGGTATGTTAAACGGTCTGATTGAAGAGAACTGGACTAATTGCATGTCAAACCTTACTTCTAATGGTAGTTTCAATAATTTCTTTGGAATATTCTATGATTCTTTTTTGAATAATTGCCCAATTAAACAGAAATCTCTGTCAAAAAATGGGAGAAATAATCAATGGGTAACAAAAGGTATTAAAATATCCAGTAAAAGAAAATGGGAGCTTTATAAAATTTCTAGAAATAATACAAATCCTGTTTTCTTAGAATACTTTAAAAATTACAAGAAGGTTTTTAAGAAAGTAATTTGGGCAGCCAAAATGAGGTACAACTTAAATTTGTTAGAGAATAGTGATAATGTAGGTAAAACAACATGGAGCATTGTAAAGAGAGAAATCGGAACAAATTGTAAAACAGAACCTTGTCTAGGAATCAAAATTAATGGGGAGGTTATTGACGATCCTATAAAAGTAGTTGATTGCATGAACCATCACTTCATTGGTGTAGCAAATAAGTTTCAGTCCCAGGTTTCGGTGGCAGATTCAATAGCCAAAGCAAAAATGGCAACTCTAAATGTCCCACATGCATTTGAATTTAAGACTGTCTCTGAATCGGATGTTATCTCCTGCATCAATCGATTAAAGAATAAAAGTTCAACTGGCTGGGATGAAATTCCTACAAATGTAATAAAATCATTGGCTTCTTCAATTATAAAACCACTCACTCATTCTATCAACATTTCACTGCTGACAGGAGTCTTCCCCGACAAATTGAAGTATGCTCAAATTTTACCTATATTAAAAAAGGGGGACTCTGAAGAAATTTCAAACTACCGACCAGTGGCTCTCTTACCTGTGTTTTCAAAAATATTTGAGGAGGTTGTTCTTTCACAAATTGTTCCATTTCTTGAATCAAACAATTTATTCAACAAGAATCAATTTGGTTTTCGGAGGGAGAGAAGCACGTCTGATGCAATAGTCGATCTAGTTTCTGGGGCAGTGGAGGCCTTGGACGGATCACAGAGAACCTTTGGTGTTTTCTGTGATTTGTCTAAGGCCTTTGATTGTGTCAGGCATGACATTCTCTTGGAGAAATTGAGATTGTATGGGATATCTGGATCATCTTTTTCATGGTTTTCTAGTTACATCACTAACAGATATCAGCAGGTTGTCATCAAAGATAAATCCGGTGTGAAACATTTTTCTGAATGGAGCTCAGTAACCCACGGTGTTCCGCAGGGATCTAAATTGGGGCCTCTTCTGTTCATCCTCTACATCAATGACTTGTCTTTTTCAATTTCTTCCAAAATTATTCAATTCGCTGATGACACAACAATGCTAGTAAGAGCACCTTCTATTTTTTCTGCAACTAACATTGCAACCCGAGATTTAGATTCCATGATAACTTGGTTTGCACAAAACGGACTACATCTAAACTGTTCCAAAACTCATCTTCTTCATTTCCATAATCCACAACTGAAGGCAGGTGAGATAACAATCAAACTAAAATCAGGCGATTCCAAAATCTTCTACAAATACTTAATTCCTGGGTGTAAACATAAATGAAAATCTAAAATGGTCTGATCATCAAATACAAATTAGCTTGTCTCTAGCAAAAGCACTGTTTGGTCTAAGGGTGGTTTATAAGTCTTCGGGTTTGCATGCAGCTCTTGCTGTGTATCATTCTTATTTTATGTCTAGGTCTTCCTATGGTATTATCTCATGGGGCAGCTCCCCCATTACCAAGAATATTTTTATCTTACGAAAAATTGCGTTAGAATTTTAGCTGATACCAGACCACGTTCCTCTTGGCGCCCCCTTTTTATTCAGATGAAACTCTTGACAATTTATGCAGTTTATATTTTTCAACTGTGCATCTTTGTAAAAAGAAATTATAAGGAATTTATGTTGAAAAATTACACTCATCAATATAACACCCGATACAGGAATGATCTTCAATATCCTGTTCATAGAACAGCTCTGTATGAAGGATCGCCATGGTACATGGGTAGGAAAATTTACAATAACCTCCCAGATCAAATTAAAACTGAAGAAAATATGTCATCCTTTAAAAGAAAACTAAAATCTTATCTCATTCTCATGTGTCCTTATTCCCTAGATGATTTTATAAAAACTTAGCTTTAGGTTTTATGGATTGATAAAAACAAAGAATTTAGCATAAGGTATTATTAGATAGTAAAGTAGTATTGACATGTCATATGTTTATATGTGAAAATCACAATCTTGTAAACTTATGTGACGAATAAACATTTCATTGGTTTAACGGGACCACACTCATCGGTAGAAGTGACATCCCTTATCCGGATAATCTTTATCAGCACATCGGTTTAATACCCTCGTCGCAGCAAACCTGCATACTAAGCGAATTTCCATTTACCCGGCTTGATTTATACTAAAATATTCCCTATAAATTTTCAGATTTATTTCGTATTTAAATAACATTAATTTTAGTGAGTAGTTAGGTTTGCTGCTACGGGGAGGATGTTGAGGTGTGTTTTTTCAATTGAAATATTGATAGCTTAGTATGAAATAAACCAAATTGCCAAATTTGATTAAAATATATCCATAAACAAGCAAACTAGAACAGTTTATTTATTATCCATAAGAATAACATGGGAATTTTAAATTTACAATTTTTTTAATTTTTCCCGTAGTCAATGAACATTCAAAAACACTTCAATATACTAAATTATTTGTTTTTTTAAGCTCTTCAAAATGGTCTAGAGAGAAATTTAGAAATTTAATGTTTTTAGGGTCAAAAATGAGAAAAATCCATTTTTTACCCCATAAAACCCCCCATAAACCCCTGATCCCATGGTCCGACTACGCTGGTTCGCGAACTCGTTCGAATAAATGTAGATTTACACATTTGTACCAAATTTCATCAAAATCGGATCAATTTTGCTCGAGTTATCGCGCTAACGGACACATATATAAATATACTAGCTGACCCGGCGAACTTCGTATCGCCTAAGTTATAGGTTTCCCCTAAGACAGACCGATGGAAAGAAAGTACTGTTACGTTTAATTTTCAAGATGATCTCGTTCGCATCGCTCAATCACGTCCTGGTTGAAGTTCGTTCGCTACGCTCACTCGCCTTTGGGTTGGAGCTCGTTCGCTGCGCTCACTTGCCTTCAGGTTAGCTCGTTCGCTACGCTCACTCGCCTCCAGGTTGAAGTTTGTTCGCTACGCTCACTCACCTTTTGGTTGCAAATTAGCTGTTGTCATAAATGTAAAAGAAATAATAGTGCTGCACCCTGTTGGTAATCCTTGTAACTTTAATGCTATTGAACATAGAACAGAACCAACTTGTTTAATTGAAACAGCTGTTAAGATTCATTAATTCAATTTCTCATAAGGTTAACATGGGAAACTCCAGAGCCACTGGGGCGGAGCCCTTTTAAGAATTTCGAAACGGGAAATAGTTTACGTCCGATTCGCATACCTATAGAATTTACACACCAAATTTCATAACGATCGGTGAAGTCGTTCCGGAGGAGTTTGCAGACAAACACTGTGACACGAGAATTTTATATATTAGATATATATATATATAAATATATCTAATTGAAAACATTATAAAAACATAAGTATCCTTTTTAAATTCATTTTTAATTAATAAACGACATGTTTCGACGCTGAGGTCATTGTCATGTTTACATGTCTTTTATTAATTAAAAATGAATTTAAAAAGGGTACTTATGTTTTTATAATGTTTTCAATTAGTTATATAGTAGTAGCCCTAACCACAATCATACTTAATATAAATAAATATCCAGGGTGTCCCGTAACTCTCTGGACACTTGTATATAGCGTTATTCCTTAGGTCAAGACAAACACATTTCACCATAGGAACATGGGTCTGTGGTGTCTAGTTTACCGACTGTCGGTATTTATGTGTTTTTTACAAAAAAGCTAATAACTCCTAAACGGTTTGAGATACAGCTTTGATATTTTGCAAAAATGTTAATCTTATTAAGACCTATTATCGTTAGAAATTATACTAAAAAATCATTAACCGTTTCAAAATGGCGGCCATTTAAAATATTTGATGCCAAATTTCACGAAAACCGTTAACTTAACAAAAAAATTGCAAGAGACAAAAAAGTTTGTAAATTTTATGTAGTTTTCAATGATACCTTATTTGTTAAGATTGGATAAATAATAACAGAGAAACGTGTTGTTTTCTAAATGTATGACCACTTTTCTCCATTTAAACAATGCTAATACTCCTTTTACGTTGTTTAGCATTGTTTAAATGGAGAAAAGTGGTCATGCGTTCAGAAAAGAAGACATTTCTCTGTTATTATTTATCCAATCTTAACAAATAAGGTATCATTGAAAACTTCATAAAATTTACAAACTTTTTTGTCTCTTGCAATTTTTTTGTAAAGTTAACGGTTTTCGTGAAATTTGGCATCAAATATTTTAAATGGCCGCCATTTTGAAACGGTTTATGATTTTTTAGTATAATTTCTAACGATAATAGGTCTTAATAAGATTAACATTTTTGCAAAATATCAAAGCTGTATCTCAAACCGTTTAGGAGTTATTAGTTTTTTGTAAAAAACACATAAATACCGACAGTCGGTAAACTAGACACCACAGACCCATGTTCCTATGGTGAAATGTGTTTGTCTTGACCTAAGGAATAACGCTATATACAAGTGTCCAGAGAGTTACGGGACACCCTGTATATATGAATATGAACGGATGGTGTTTTTGGCCTCTGGGGACCTCAAAACGAAAAAGTAAATCGGTCCCGGGTCTAGGTCTTACCATGAGACCTACGGTAATAGCTTATTCCCTATATGGGAAATTCGCTAAAACTGGACTAGGTCGGCAGGAAGTGGGTGGTACTGAAACAACTGTTCTCTTGGGAAAGGAAAGAGACCAGTGATTACGTGTCTAAATACAATGCTCTCCTAATTTTAATTCAAATACTTTATAGAGTATGCATTTAAATGGTCCGTTTTAATGAGATTTTTGGGACGTCGGCATAACAGGAAAAACTGCTATCCGTAGTGGCCTCGGTCCCGAGGGTCCGGGTAAGAGGGAGTCTACGATCTTTTCCAAATAAACTGCCGCCATTTTGAAACGGAAAAAGATAATTCATTATGTTTTCGCCAAAATGTTTGTCTATTTAATACATTTAAAATCATGTATAACATGACATATATTTACATTGGAAAATTCCGAGATTCTAACTAGTGACCCTCCGTTTTCGGCATACCCTGTATCGGAAAAATGTTGAAAATATTTTTATGTTATTCCTTGGGATTGACTTACGGGGAAATAATCTTATTTCATCCTTGTACGTTAAGCCGTTCTTCCGTAATCAATCTGAGACACATTACGTGGGACACTCTGTATAGTCCCTTAGCATTCGAAGTTCCCCTACTTCGAAGGCCGCGGCCTGGAGTTAAAGATGGCCGTGGACGTCAAGGTGCGTTAAAGGCGCGTCAAGGATCTACGGACCATCAATACAACGTCACGGATCGACGGATGCATCCCATGAGCCTGTCCGGAACGCGACCCGTCACCCCAAACCTCACATCCCAGTCTGCTGGTGCTGAGATCGAAGTCGAGTGACTAAAAGAATTTTATTTATTATTTTATTATTATTATTTTATTATTTATTTAGATTGTCTGTCTGTGTCAGAGTGTGTCTGTGTTTGTGGTGGCGTACTGGCGTAGATATCTCTGCAATTTTAATCTACTTCGGTTAATGTTAATGCTTCTTCAGTAGCAATTGACTTATTTAACTTACTTAAAAATAGTTTTACCAACGAATAATCTATTTTATGTCCTTAACTTTGCGCACTAAAGCCATGTCAGATCATACTGATCATTCATATGCACTTAGGGGTATGAAGAATTCTTCTAAAAACAACGTAAGTCAAGTTCACCTGAAATCAGATAACTGCAAGTGTTTGCATTAGCCTGCCCTTAAAAGTTAAGAGTTGTTGTTAATTTTAGTTATTTAAGGTAAACAAAGCTAAACTTACACCTTTCTATAGCTAAGTAATCCGATTAGGCTAGCAATCAATTTATAAGTCTTATCCTGGTCAGCCCGCTTTTGCCTATTTTTAAAAAACTGCATTAGGCCTATTAAGTTATGTAGGCTACATTTTAGATAGGGCTGTTTTAGTACTGTACATAGTTTAGGGACTGGTGAAAATATCAACTGACCTAACCGTGTCTATGGCGGTAAGATGTATATCTAGTCTATGGCCACCTAAGTTAGCTTAAACTTATTCCATTAAACTGGAAACAGTGGAAACCTAAGTTTGTAATTTCCAGTGCTACCTAGGCTGTGTAGGTGTAAGTTAGTGCAAACCATTGTAATACAGCCTATATCTACCTAGTATTAACCCTTCAAGGACGGGTGACGGTTATATTCGCCTAAGTCTTTGGCGATAAAGGACAGGTGGCAGATCTGCCTTCTCTTCAGACAGACTGGCAGCTGCTTTGAGCAGTAACCAGATGTTTTGTGGTATGAAGGCGCCACTTTCCTGCTCTCTCTATGGCTGCGCTCTCTCCTGCACTCACCCCTCTCTCCTGCGCCTCCCCTTCTCCCGCTCACCACCCACCTCCCTTGACGTTTTGCGCTCAACACTACGTTTTCTTTATTTATTGTTTACATAGGCCTATTGTTGCCTTAAGTTGTCATGCTTATTTCTTCAAAGACGGGTAAGTTAGCGGATACATCCTCTGCTTTTCTACTCATCCGCGGACGGCACCTAGCAGATATATCCACATAGCTAAAAACGAGTAAAAATTATTTTGACAATTGGAAGTGTTCTATTGTGTTTATTTTATGTACCTAGGCTTTACTTGTATAACAAAACACAAGTAAGGAAAATTAATGTCACGATTTCGCCCGCCCGGGAAGGGTTAATGTTTAGGCAAGCATGTTTCTTTAGAACCTTTATTGGCTGCACTTTAGTTTTCGTCCTACATTTACTCCCATAGGCCTACTGCAGTTTGGTTAAGGTTAGGTTTAGTTTAGAACAGTTTCATTTTACAATCAGCTGGTAGATTAATGTAAATACGGTACACAGAGGATACACGTCTGGTAACCGGACATGGATTAGACGTCCGGCAGTGAATGCCATTAACACAACGATACAATGTACAGCCATCGGTGTTCGTGGTGCAGTGGATAGAGTGCTCGGCTGATATGCAAGAGGCCCCTGGTTCGAATCCCATCGGTAGGCCCTTACTTTAACTTTTTGTCAAAGATTTTGCTTTGAATGCCATTTCTTCTTAACTGGACATCTTTTGTTTAGAATTTTTGACAACTGTAATTTTATTTATGAACATAATTTAATCTTCATTCGATTTTTTCATTATGGTTATGACAGTAACTGCCGGACGACGACGTGTATCCTCTGCGTAATGTATAATAGTAGGTAAATTTAAATGTAGGACATAAACTAAAATACCGTACAACCCCTTTTTTCTTAGCTTGTGTCAGAGCATATTTTAAGGGATTTTCACTGTACGACAGTGGCGCCAGATTTACTGGGGGGTCTGGGGGCTAAAGTTCCCCCCCCCGGAAATTTTTGCATAAATGAAAGGGAAAATCACACATTTCTACGTATCTTTTAATGAGTTTTCGATTATATTTGCTTGTAAGTCCATATAATCTCACTTAATTACCTACAAATTCTAGAACGTTGTAACAGGCCAAGGCTCTCTTCACAACCTCCTGGGCCAAAATCATAACTCAATACTCTAAAATACATAATGTTATTTTTTAAATTCTGACAAATTTAAAATTTGAATTATTACAAGAAATACAAATTCTAGAACGTTCAGGCCAAGGCTCCCTTCACAACCTCCTGGGCCATAATCATAGCTCATCACTCTAAAATATTTACACAATGTTATTTTTTAAATTCTGATACATTTAAAATGTGAATCATTCCAAAAAATATGCCGGCTCCACCCAAAGTCACTGGGCGACAAAATCTCAGCACTGGGCGACAATTCTGTCGCCCAGTTAACATGTTATTTTATGCCCTGGCTTGTGTGCATCGCAAGTAAAATCTGCACTTAACTTACTGTTCGAAATATATTTGCCTGTAGATGTGCAGAATACTTTTTTTAATTAAAATAGGCTAAAAAATAAGCACAATCAACCAACCAGCAGCAGTCAGCCAAGCAGTGGCCAACGATCGTAATACGCTCGTTCGCCGTGACGCCTAGAATGGCCACAGGCGTAATACGATAGTATGGGCCAAAATTTTTTAACGGTATAATCAACTCAGATGTGAACAATATATATAGGTTCCATTCAAAAGATAACGTTCTGAACCTTTATTTTATTATATAAACAAACCCTGTAGCAGGTATATAACAATGTCACGACGATTGGAAATCAAATGAATTTTTGAATTTTTTTTTCTTTCTAAACAAAAGGAATTAGAGTTTAGCTAAGTTTACTTCTACGGTTGAATTTTTACGATTTTTCAAAAAAAGGTCTGCAAAATTGCCAAAATGGGCTGGCCATTCCACACTTCTAACATTGGCCACTGATAGGGTTAAAAATTTAAATAGGTAAAAATTAACATCTTAGGCCTTAGCTTATGGGTTGCCATGCTGGTGACGAAATATAGGCATAAACAGAAAATCAAAACAAATGGAAGGAATTCCAATCATCCCATGTTTTAGAAGTCTGCACGTTAGGTAGGTACATAATATTTTTGTTCGAGTTTTAGACCACTGAACGACCCCTAGTCCTTTTTAATGGGCCGAACATTAAATTACGCTTTGAGCATACACTTTTAAAGTTTAAATTAAAAAGTTTGATTGAAGGCTCTTTAATCCTCTTATCTTAGGTAGGCCTAACACTTAACTTATTCACTGTTCCATCCTGTTACTTAATTGTCTAATTTAAATTATAACTTCTGATGTATATGTAGGGCCTATTTAAAGATTTAAAGAAATTTTTAAAGTCACCTGATAACCAACTGTATTTACAGGTACTTGAGTGTCGGGTGTGTCAAGACGTGTTTGGACTGGTAGGAGACAAGGTACCTCGTTTGTTGTATTGTGGCCACACTGTCTGTCATACCTGTCTGCTACGTCTGCCTTTGACGGAAAACACCATACTATGTCCATTTGATCGTCAGCCTACTCCAGTCGGTAAGTGAAACTTGACATGTTTCAGCCAATTACATAAAACATTTTAGGCCTTAATGAAGGTTCAAGCTAGAGCCCGTGGTTAGCATGTGACACACTATGGGCCTGGAAGGTAAACAAGTCCCCCTCCTTACCCACTCATATGAATCATCAAATGTCTATGCAAGTTCACATCGCGCAGAGCTTGTGATCTTGACCTGTCCCACTGCCGACCCAGTCACACTCTGAACTCCTACCCATCGCTTGTTATTCGTCTTTTTAAAAAAACTAGTGGTCGTCCTGTGGTCGAAACTCGACCAAAAATAATTAATGTACAGACTTCTCTATTTTCTCCCCACACTGTAAATAAAACATGTGATTGGAATTTCTTCCATTTGTTTTGATTTTCTGTTTACATTTTGTTGTTATTTCGTCACCATCATGGCAACCCATATGGTCCATGTTAATTTTTTGAAGTTTTCAAATTAATTTTTTGTTCTTATTTGTTAGCCTATTCTAATTTTTAAAAGCATTCTGCACATCTACAGGAAAATGTCTTTCCAACAGTATGCGTAGATTTTCCCTGCGAAGCACACGAGCTGAGAAAAAAGGTTTTAAAGAAACATGCTTGCCTATTAATATATAGATAGATAGGAGTTCGTGCTCTTGACAAAAAGCGATTTAAGTCAACGCTATGCCATATTGTGCTCGATCGACGGTTATACTTCTGGTAAGAAATGTTTGACGAACCTATAACTTAGTATTTGTAAATAATACCGCCACACCCGCCATTGTTGCTTAGTTGTGTATATATGTATAGTGTTTTTAATATTTTAAATATATAAAAGAAGGAACTAAGGTCAAAGATGAAGAAACCAAGTAAGCAGGTAAGTAGGCCTAAGTAATGAAAACAGCCTAGGCATTTTAGGATTTGACACGTGCATCCACAACATAAGTTAACACCTTTTGATCGTTAACAAGAATACCCACAATATAGTAGGTAGGGTAAAAACAAAAACTGTCATTTAAATAACTTAAAATAAGTTAAACTTTTACCGACATACAATTTTTACTTGAAAGAACACATTTTTGAAAACTGGATTTAGGAAAAACATAAGTTGTAAATTCAAACAAATTTTGTTTAATTTGAGATGTACCTATTAAATTCACATTACTTAAATAGGATACTACAAACCTAAGTAACTTACTGTAGCATAGGTAGGGCTATTCATTGAAATGCAGGCATTTACAACTGTCAATAAGTTTACTAACACTTTTAGTATTGGGTCACCTTCATTATTTTTGTTAAACTCGTTTATGACCATAAAAAACTAGTTAATTTTTAGCATTAGGTTGTAACATCACTTTTAGTAAACAGATCATTCAAAATTTGTTTTCATTAAAAATACTAGTCTACTTATTTTTTGTACCTTTTACTTACAGTCTAACTCTTTTTCACCGTGGTTTTTTGCGTAGGCCGTACTCTTTCTAAATTCACTGTCTCTTTGTTTTTTTCTCATTATTCACAAAAACATTATGTGAATTTTACAGTGTAAAATAAAGGATCCTGAAAGACGTAAATACAATCATTGGCAAAAACACGACAATTACATCACTGTAGGCCCTATTATACTAGCCATACTGATCAAATGTTTCTTACAATTGCAGCTAACATTGGCTATTAAAGGCAATGAACGAGTTGCACATGCAAACAGTATAGTGAAGAGTCATGAGTGAGAAATGAAATTGAGGAGGTTTCTATTGAAAAAGAAAGAAAGAAAAAAGTGCTTTATTCTTCACAACTTACATCTTGTACAAATTTATGTAATACAGCTCGTAAAAAACATAAAATAAAAGCAACATTAATTTGTTTAAAAATGTGGTTCCAAGCGAGTCTCATGATTTTTAATTATAATTGAAGAGAAATAAAGAAAGAAATAAACTAAATATAGAAAGAAACTAGAAACTATAAATAAACTAAAGAAATATCTATTCTATATATAATTCAGTTTTTAAAATCTTTGTACAACTAAATCTAGAGTTCTACTGGACCGATTTTATTAATTGATGGGTCGTTGGAAAGCTTAGGTCGTGTAGATTTGCAAATAATTATGAAAGTTTGTTTTTGTTATGATTTATGGTGAAAAGTTTAAAAAAAAAAACATGCTTTCCATAAGAAATACATTAAAAAAGACGTTTTTCACACTTTTTATTTGGGTGCGACTTTTAGCTGCCATTTTTTAATATTTACAAGAAGTGCATGGTATCAATTTGTTGGAAATTTTATTCTCTTTCAGAATATCACCTTCCATTTTGGTCGATTTCCTCACCATTTAAAAGTTATTTGCAAAAAAGCTAAGCAACCTCCGAATTTATAGTAATGAGAAAATATTGAGTTTGGGATATTTTTGTTAAACTTTGTACAACTAAATCTAGACTTCTACTGGACCGATTTTGTTAATTAATGAGTCATTAGAAAGCCTAACTCATGTAGATTTGCAAATAATTATAAAATTGTGATTTCATTAAATATTTGTGGTGAATAAGTAAAAACGACAAAAATACATTAAAAACTGCTTTTTTGAAGTTTCTGTTTTCAAGATTCTATTTGTAGCCAGCTTTTGGCTGCCTTTATTAAGTATTTTCAAGAAATGCATAGTAGTTATTTGTAGTAAATGTTATTCTCTTTCAGAATATCACATTCACTTTAGTCGATTTCCCCTCCATTTAAAAGATATTGGCAATAATCTAAGTGATCTCCAAATTTATAGTGGTGAGAAAATACTGAATTAGATATTATTAAACTTTGTACAACTAAATCTAGACTTCTACCGGACCGATTTTGTTACTTAATGGGTCGTTAGAAAGCATAATTTGTGTATATTTGCAAATAATTATGAAAGTTTGATTTTATTAGATATTTGAGGTGAAATAATAAAAATAAAAAATAATACATTTAAAACTCCTTTTTTTCCAAGTTCATATTTCCAATTTTATATTTGTAGCCAACTTTAGGCTGCCTTTATCGAGTATTTTCAAGAAATGCACAATAGTAATTTGTAGGAAATTTTATTCTCTTTTAGAATGTCACCTTCCACTTTGGTCGATTTCCTCGCCATTTCAAAGTTATTTGCGAAAAGTTAAGCAACCTCCAAATTTATAGTAGTGAGAAAATACTGAATCAAAGATGTTGTTGTTAAGCTTTGTACAATTAAATCTACAGTTCTACTGAACCGATTTTTTAAATTAATAGGTCATTGGATAGCCTAATTTGTGAAGATTTGCAAATAATTATGAAAGTACTGTTGAGGTTGCAAGTACGATCGTTTGGCTATAAATCGATGATAAATAACTCCATTTTTGAACAGTTTGTGTTGGTCGTGATTGAGCTGTGTGCTTTGCCTGTCAATCGTAGGCAGCGCCACCAGCGTTGCTATGCTGAGTGCATGGCAACGCTGGTGGCGCTGCCTACGATTGACAGGCAAAGCTCTTTCAAAACACTTAATGCTTTTTACCTTGAGGTTGGCATTCTGGGTTATAGTAATATGTTTTCTGTGGTAGAAGAGCCCTCCTGTAAACCATCGCCCGCCTGCGAAACATTGAACTCGAAAAAAACCAAATTAACTTCCATAAGAAATGTAAAGTGAGGCAGTTTGTGCATAACTTGAAATATACGTAAAAATTAATGCCAATGCTTGATGGCAAATCTTCGGTACGTCCATACCTTTAGTTTAAGGCCAAAATTATAAAAATCGGACGGGTAGAAAAGCAAACCCGACTCGGAAAAGAAAAACCAATTATTTTTATAGATGGTAATAATTGGTTTACCAGTATGCATAGGTAATCTAATCATACAAAACATGTGTTATTAATTCAACAGCTTATTGTTCTAATTTTATCTAATTAATTGTTCTTTGATTAAATGTTGTTCAATTTGCATTTGTATTTAAAGTGTGTTCATTATGTTAAGTGTGTGATTCTAATGTTATGTGCTTAAACTGTACCTTTAATAAAAGTAAGTAAAGTGGTGTATGGATTTCATAATCATTATTTTACTAGAGACCGTTGTATTTAACCACAACGGGCACTGTTGCTAGTTAATAAATAAACTTCCAGTCTCGTTACAAAATGGTTGCTTGTATCTTTAATTTAGACAAAAAGTTCAGTACCTACTGTGTTAATAATAATTAATATTTCAGTAGGTGTACTAAAGTTAATAAAATAAGAATTTTTATTGACTCTTGTACACAACTATAATTTATTCAACTGAAAGTATTTGACTTAACCGTGTTTTGTGTTTAATTTGTGTCTTTTCTATCAATAAGAAAAAAAGGAGATAAGTGTAGTTTATTTTATAAATATTGCAAATTGCAAGTAAAACTTCAAAATAATGTTTATGGTAATTCCAAATGAATATCACTTCTTATGTACCGGTAATGTGTTTGGGAATTGACTGTATTAAATGACATTTTGAGTAATCCGACCCAGGTCCGGTCCCATTAGGGTCGGTTAAGAGTGGGTCTACTGTATTTTAAAATTATTATTGATAGCTTAGGCTATTGTAGGCCTACCCGTACCGTCGTATTTAATCTGTGGATAACAAATTCCGCGTGTCTTATCCTTGCTGCTCTGGTTATTTGACCAATTGTTCTAACCACATTATGGGTCCACGCCTGATAGATTTCCACTGCACACACAAAATACACCTTAAAATAACCCTAACAAATTACTTGCCAAATAAATTACACTTTGTTTTCAATGTGGCTATTTGAAACATTGAAGTATTACACAGTTGTGTTTGACAGGGAACTCCGGTGTGTGGGGTTTGAAGAAGAACTTTGCCCTCTTAGAGCTCCTAGAGAGGCTGCAGGACTCTCAGGAGAGAGATGCTGTTGCTGTCCTACTGTCTACAGACGTCTTGCACAAGGAGAGAATGGTAGGCTCCATAGATATGACGTGATTTATTAGAGTAGGTTCCATACATACCGTACTGAGCTTATGATTGTTTTTTAAAATAACCTAATTTACGTTTGACATAAAAGGTTTGACGCTAAGGTTTGACATAAAATAATGTCATCTAACCCGAAATTTGTCACCACAAACAGTTACCTATAGGAAAAAAGTTTATGACATTTTTTTCAACACATTATAGGCTTATACTGTACAGTTTTGACTACACGACCTTTAGTGCTATCCACTTTATGATGTAAGACTAAATTACTTACGTAATTCCCGTCACAGCTCAATAACATATGTCTATTCAGGACATGTTTCGGTGTTAAAACACCATCGTCAGCTTCAGGTACATAGTGTAGAGTTGATCAGTTGTTAACATCGTCAGGAGATAAACACAGTACGGACACGAATAAATACATAAAACAATGAAACATTTTAAAAACAGGCCTGTTCTAACAAAAATGACCGACCGCACAGGTAGCAAGGGACAGACTAGACCAGCTTATGCTTATCAGTTGTGTGAGAGAGAAAGAGATATTGGGCAAGGATCAGCTGTTGTAGGATGGACGGAGTTATTGATGAGTGAATTAAAAATGGTGTGGGAACTGAACTGCAGTTTTTCATTTAATATAGTCTCACGGGTGTTAACGTTGTTAAAACTTTTGTATATTTCATACTCCTCTAGAGTGTCCATCTTTTTCCCTTTTCTGCAAGTGTGTAGAATTTCCAAGCTGTCGTCAATATTTCCCATTGTAGGCTATGATTGAAGTCAATTAAATGTTGTGCGAAGGTGGATTTTGGTTTGGTTACGCTGGAAACTGGTCTGTGCTTTTTAAACCTTGTTTTGAAACTTCGTCCTGTTTGGCCAACATACATACTAGGACATCAGCGCATTTTAGTTTATAAATGCCAGTTTTACATTGTATGTCCTTTGCGGTAGTTTTTGAGGCTAATATTTACTCTGTTGCTAGTGTTGAAGGTCAACTTTATGTTATTTTTCTTGAATTCTTTTCCCAATGTAAAACTGGCAATTATAAACTAAAATGCGCTGAATGTCCTAGTATGTATGTTGGCCAAACAGGACGATGGTGTTTTAACACCGAAACATGTCCTGAATAGACATATGTTATTGAGCTGTGACGGAAATTACGTAAGTAATTTAGTCTTACATTATGTCCAACAGCTCAGGGGCTACACACATGGATTTAAATTCTATCCACTTTGTTTCAAGCAGGCCTAGACCATGAAATCGCAAGTTAATTCTGTGTAGTATCAAAGTACAATGTAGCGGGTACGGTAATACCCTTTTGCTGGGTCTGTACTCGGAAGATTATTTGGTAGCCTGATTCGACCAGTTTGGCAAATCCTCATAACTACATACTGCTTGGGGCCCCTTTGGTAAAATAATAGAGACTATTTTAAAAGTAAACAAAGATTTCAGCCAGATTGGGCTACCTGAGAAAGTTAGGGTCTAGAGGCTAATCGATACACAGTACTAATATTTTATTCCATATCAAAGGTCTTCAGAGGGTGAATCGAAGAGAAACGATAATCCAAGCTAAAAACTAGTGTTAGGATATTCTGAACTCTCTCTGCTTTCAACAACCTATGTGCAATAACCTGTGACTATTGATACAAATAAACATTAGATCCCGATGTTTAAGTTTTTCCTAGCACACTCTAGCGCATTCTGTGATTAGCTCACATAACTATGTTCTTTTTTTTATAACAAATTGGTAACAGCTGCTTTATATGGAAGAGATATCTACCTCAGTATCCAATAATCAAGGGTATAATTTAGGTCTCAACATTTTTAGAAATTTTAAATCTCGTTCTATGAGACAAGATCACAAATGATGAGAAGTTTTGTTAAGTGTAAATAGTGTGAGACATGTTTTAACATAGCCAAAAAAAAGTCACTCCAAAACCATTACAAAAATATCAAAAGACTGAAAAATTGTTACCGTACTTCACATTTAACTAGTAAAACTGATGTTTCAGACTGATAAATTTTATATTTAACAAAGTTGAACTATATCCTAACTGATATCACCATGTTATGTATGAGAAGGGAAATCCCGTCTCGTCTTGAACTAAAAATCCAATCTCGTCCACCCCTAGTATAAGTGAAAGAAAATACCTAAAAACTGTGTCTGGCTTTTGCTGCTACCTACTAGCTAAAATTTGATATAATTTGCTCGAGTATTTAGTTTACTGAATTTAATAATGGGTGTACTGGCTTTAGGAATGGTCTAGGAATTTAAAATAAATTCAACCACAACATTCTGTGGTGACAGGAGACAAGAAGGTTTCAACCAAGTCTTGGTCAGTTCTGTTGGTCAACTTGTGTGCTATATTCTTTCCAACTGCACCTTGCTCTATGTGCTGAAGTTCAATATTCGTCCCAATGTTTCAGTTGGGTATCCGATGTGATGAGAATGATGCTCACACAGCTGTTCTGTACTGCATCGTGTGTGCGACTCACTTGTGTGAGGTAAAGTGTTTGATACTAGATGTGTTAACCCTTTGAGTTCTAGGCCAATAATTTTTATTTTGTAAGACTTTTTTGGTTTACATTTCAATTCTATTACATGTTGTTGAATTTTAACTGTTTTATTCTCACTAGGTCTATTGTATTAATCAGGCTAATTTGGAATAATAAGTCAATTAAAAAAAATATATAACAAAGAAAAGTTTTGTATTTGCAGTAAATTGTAATGTTCTAATAGAATTATTTGAAACCAAAGTCTCGTAAAATTGAAAGACATCTTGTTTACACATAATATCGAACTAAACCTTGAGGTTGTTGGATAAGATTATCATAATATAGCATTTTTAGGAGGAAGAAAATTATTTTGTCAGTGAAACCTCTGTAACGCCTCACTTTATGATCTCTGTTGTGGTTCAACTGAAAAATATCATAAATAGTGTTGCCAACTAGTAACGCAATGAACAACATGGTTGTTGCACCATCTGTTAACATTTGTTGTCGTCAGCAATACCGGTTTTTCTCTGTAATCTCCGGAAGAACAGATAGCCAAGGTGGCTAGGGCGAGTGTCACTTGGCCAGTGGCATTCGTCTTCTCGGGTTTGAGTCCCATCCTGTGTGCTTGTAGCGATATACTACGACCACTGGGGCATAGTGAGATGCTCACTCCTTGGTTAAGACGTACACCTCGAATCATCGGATTGGGCGAATCTTTTAGCCAAGTGGTTGTTAGTGTATCCTAAAAACATGCAGGTTGCCAATGGCTGATTTGCTACTTTTGTTGAAATAATTTGTTTATAGCTACTTAATTTTAAAAATGATATAAGGCCCAACAAAAGAAAATGCATAGGCCTAATGAAGATAAAAGCATTGGGTCAAAATAATCCCAGTTGCTACTCCATCTTCATACATAATAATAATAATGAAACATTTTATTTTGTCAAACATGATAGAATTTACAAGTTATTTCCTCGACAGGTATGCAGCGAGAGTTCTCACGCCACTCGGACGCTGGGCAAGCATCGCCGAGTGCCGTTGTCAGAGAAGCCGCGTGAGCGACCACGATGTCCCGCCCATCCAGCACACCCAGCGGAGTTTGTGTGTCTTCAGGATGAGTGTCAAGCGTCGGCCGCATCTCAGAACACCGTCATGTGCTTCATATGCAAGGACTACGGACGACACAAGAACCACAAGGTAGGATAGTGAGTGATAAGTACAAAACCGTCACTTAGTACTTAGTTTTACGACTTCTAGTCTATATTCCTCTAGTATTCAATATGAGTCTATGTAAATTATTTTTCATATTGAGCCTACATTGAATTAATACAAGATAAAGTCATGTCCTGTTTCATTGAAGCTTCTAAATAATAGTTAAACATTAATTTATCCCCATACGTTGCAAGCTCAGGTATGTTAAGAGCAAAAAAAGCACAGAATCATTGGAAACAAATTAGTTTAGAGTGTTGAGAACTTGTGCCGTAGAGGCATGTTTAGCCGCCATCTTGAATTAACCGGGTAGAACCCTCTTAAATTGAATTAGAAACATCGCTACTTAACCTAAACAAGTTTAAATATTAACAACAACAATTGACATCTCTTAGAACTCTCAGTTGGTACAAAACAATCATTGTTGCCAACATAAAATCCATAACTCTAAATTCCTCCGAATTACAATGAGTTATAAACATTGTTTAAGAACATTCATTTAAAAATGTCAAAAAAATTTCTAGTTGCCTATATACAAGAATTTGCACAATTTAATTCTTTAAAATTTACTTATTTAAGCTACTTGTAATAATTTAGGACTTATTGGCTATAAACATAAATAGTTACTGTAGCCATTTTGAAAGCTCAGTCATATGAGGCTTACGCTCCTCCGGAGAGTGGTGGACTTTTCAGTTGTTTTTTTCAGGCATTTTTACATAAGACTCTATTGACTGAAATTAAGACAGACAGACAGAAATAGAGATGAGACTTGTTTCGGCTTCTTTAATGTATAAAACGTAAAAATAACCTAAAACTAAAAAGTTATAATTTTGAGCAATGTACTGACAAAACTCTAATTTTATTTATATAGATTTCTTCTAGGTTACAACAATTTTACTAGTCTAGTAGAATAGGCTTTTTTAAAGTAAGCTACAGTACCTCCCCAACAACTAATAGACTCGCCCACCACAACAATAAAAACATTTTGTTACTTTGAATCACTTCAATTTGATTAAAAATTAAAGAAACAACAGAGCAGAGAGTAGGCTATTTAATTTCTTGTGTATTTCACGTTTTAAAGTAGCAAAATAATACAAATATTTGGAAGTTATGTTAGTCTACATGAAAATTAGCAAAAGACTTATTGTTTAATCTTGTTGCTGGTGGAATAGAAAAAATTATCGTATACGACTTAACCGGGAAGGTGTTTAAGGTACTCACATGAAATTCCACGCTTGGCAAGCCTGGCATGGAAACTTTTTTTTAAGAGGTTGGCGGCCTCTTTTAACCTTGCATTTGCCCGTCCACATAGACTACAGATCTGTGCGTGGAACGTATCCAGCAAAGCAAGGGGTGAGCCGGTACAGTACAAAGGTGAACTGTACTGATAAAAGTTTGTGGCAGTGACCAGGATCCGAACCCACGACACTTCTGCCTTGGGCCCAAAGTCAGTGACGCTACCAACTGAGCCACCGACTCACCGTATTGTAACTATCATGCTCGTACCATACACCTACTTAATAACACCTACTTAATACACTACAATAGGTTGTGTTCATTAATCATTATTGTTACATACGTTACAGCACGCTCTGGTAGAGGTGGAGGCTGAAAATATCCGATCGTCTGTAATCAACGCTTCTCAACACATGCGAACATTGATGGAAGATATGAGAGAGACTGTTCATCGGCTAGGTATGTTTTTTGACTACATTAGCAGATGTCCCAAAACCTCTCAGTAGGCATTACCTAAATTACTTACTGATAAATGTACATTTTGAAGCACCTTTTCGATTACAGATTAAATTTATGGGTCAAATTTCTTACTAGAACCGGGTTGACTTACTCCTAGGGTAAAGCATGTATAATTTGTCCTGATAGACATAACCAAACCAAAATAAAAATACCCCCGCCGCAGAAAACCTGCAGACTAAGCGAATTTCCATTTGCCTGATTGAATTTACTCTAAAATATCTACTTAAAAATATCACACTTATTCCCTATTTAAATAGCACTAGTACACCTGTTGCTCGAATTCGAGCAATTGCTAAGTATTACAGGCGTTATTTCAAAACTAATAACAGTCATAATTTCCAATGACTTTAAAAAGTCTACTCAAAGATAATGTTATCAATCACTTCACTCTATTTATCGAAAATGAAAACGAACTCACTCTGAAAACAAATGCTCACTCCACTCCAGTTATTGAAACTAAAAACTAACTCACTCTGAAAACTAACGCTCTTGTGTGTATTATGAACAGGTGCAATTAGACTAATACAAATTATTCGTCTGTTTAACACGTTCGCTGCTACGGACATTCCGGAACGTCAAACGGGCCACGGCGCCATGAGCTAGGAACGTTCCGGAACGTCGTCATTCATTGATGTTTAACGTTACCATGGATCAGCCAGCTCGTCACGAGCGTCCTATATTTCTTTGCAGCTCGTGGGGAATATATATTCTTTTCTGACAATAAAATATATAGTTTCCCAAAATCACCACCAGGGTCGTACTATGTCCAAAGCCAGTTTTATTGCAGAAGATTGCCATCCAGTACAACTACTGTTGTTTTTACTGTAATTCAGTGTAACGACAGCAATGTTTACGTAGTGGCGAACGTTAGTTCAGCTCCTGGCGCCGTCCCGGCATCTAACGGTCAGCAGCGAATGTGTTAAGTAAACAAAATCTTTCCTTCATAAGAAATACATTGGGATTTTGATGGCCTGTCAGGCAAAGCCCGAGGGCTTGTATTGCAGGAATTGTTGAAAGGGGGCGTCTACAAATACTTAATTGTGACACCTCGTATGTAAAAATCCGCCCATTATTAACGGAGGAGTAGTGTTTCGTAGAAATCGTCTCACGTATTATATACAGTAGACTCCCTCTTATCCGGACTCCTGGGCACCGAGGCCAGTCCGGATAACGGTTTTTTCCGGTTTAACCAACATCCCAAAAACTCGTTATGTAACCCAAATATTTGACTTAAATTTAAGAGAGCATTGTATTTATACACGTGATCACTGGTCTCAAATCTTTACCACGAGAACAGTCGTTTCAGGACAGCCCAATTCTTACCGATCTAGTCCAGTTAAACCAATGTGCAGATAAGAGTTGTCCAGTTAAAGAGATTTCATTTCCGTCGAGTGTAGTCCGGTTAAACCGGTGTCTGGTTAAAAGGTGTCTGGATAAGAGGGAGTCTACTGTATAAGGATTAGTTAAACAAGTACTTAGGTTTGCTGGAACAGGGAGGGTAAAAAAGTGTCATTTTGTAAAATGTTAATAGTTTAGTAGCCTATGAAATAAATGCATTTTCCAATTTTCATCAAAATATGTTCATAAAGCTAAACAACAGCAAACAGCAGTAGTTTACTTTTTCTCCATAAGAATAACATTGGAATTTTAAATTAATTTTTTTTTAGAATTTTCTCTGTAACTATTAGGCGAATAACAACGCTTGTGCTAAATTTTTGGGTGCTCTACAAAATTGGTTTTTAAATAAATTGCAAAAATTTTATATTTTTAGGTAGAGGTGTGCGGATATCCGAAAAATCGGGTCGGATTCGGTTCGGTTCGGATATCCGTATCCGAACCGAGCCCAAATTCGATATCCGACACTATCCGTTATATATCCGACTTTTTCGGATAGACAATATATTTTGACGTTTTGGACAGAAAACTTAATCTCCATAGCCACCATTAGTTTCCCAGGACAAAATTACAGCAATACGTTTCCAACGACCTAACAGCAAACGGCAAAGAAGCCGTATGATGCAATACAGATAACTAGTTTAGTCGTTATCGGCTGTTTTGCTTTACGATTAGATTCGTCTGGAACGAACAGACATAAAGCAGAAAAGACCTACCATGGTCAAATGAAAGTTTCAAAGTAGAAAAATCTAGCCTACTACTGTGATGTTACGTAAACAATAGATTAAATGTTTCCCGAAAAAAAATCAGAATAGAAACAATAGAAAGGCAACACAATAGAAGGGTGGGAGGGGTTGGGCAATGACCTCGAAAGGAGCGCGGGTAGTGAGTCAAGTAGGACCGGAGGGGGAAGGGGTGGGTAAGACCTTGAAGCTATATATAGACTTGCACTACTTCCCTAAACCTAGAGGACTGGCCGGCGCGAGTGGTATTCCAATCACAGGACAAGATACGTTGTTTTTTGGGTATTCATTGCCCGGTTTGACTTTGGATTGTCTTACTGTGTAGAAACTTTGAATAATAAAAAATAAAGTCAGAACTAACCACGATTATTTAGCATTTATTGTGTACATATTAAATGATTAAACGATAGGGACCATGGATATATACAAACTTTTGTCGTGATTTTAATTTCAACATCAAAATACAATATTGCACAATCGTGATATTTTAGGTCATTGACCTTTATTATGCATCCGGTATTGCTGTTTCAGAAGAGAAGCACGTTGATAAATTATAAATTGATATTCCCGTAGTTAAAAAGAATTATTTTATAAACCTATAAAACAAAATCATAAAATCTTACATAAAGATAACAAAAAATAAGGAAATTGTAAAAAGGGTATAAAGATAACAACGTCGTTTTTGTTTCTCTTTGTTCTTCTATTTCTTGGGTTTCCCTTATCACGCATTCAACAAGTTGCCATGGTTACTAATCACCCATGTCGTTATCAGCTTTTTTGGCATAGCGCACAGCAGGGGGTAAAACTTGACGAAAATCGGTTAATTTTTACCTATTATTTAATTACCAATGAATGTACTACTTTATTGGTATTTGGTACTGTATATCGGTCCAAATGGCCGATTTTTGTCAAATTTTACATCAAATTTATTTAAATTTGAAGGTGAATATTAATAAAACAATTATTACCAAATATTTGTATTGATTTGTGGTATTGGGTTCCCCACTGAGTGCAGCCGAGCGGCACTAATGAGGGTCAGACCTTCTTGGGGGTGAACAATAGACGGCTTATCTGCTTATCAGACCCTCCCCTCCCCCGTGGTCTGGAGAAAGCTTGTAAACAAACTATTGCACAAGCACGCGTGACTTGACATTGGGCTGCTTCAATTATAATTTTGTCAAATGAACTGTGATGTTTCAAAATCAAAAACAATAATTTGGGACCGTACTGCTTAACAATAATGGACTGCAATTATTGTTGAACATACAATCCATTTTTAACAAACTAAGATTATACGATTCAAATACAATATAAAGATTATCTTGGTATTTTACTTGGGGTAATGAAGTTATGTAGGCTAGTGTAATTCTCGGTTCATCAAGGTTCTACTGAATTATGTTTGGCAGTGAATATGTGTAGAATTCAATTTATAAATTCAGGGTTACACAGTTATAAAGTCTAATTGCCCAACATCAAATCGTGAGCTAGAGCCAATTTAGTGCATTTATTTTTTTTTATTTATTTATTTATTTTTTTTTGTCCTAGGACGCTAGGCACGAGCCTGGGATTGTTTTTCACATTACTTCAGGCTAGACCTAGGGGTTGCGGCATTATCACTTAGATAAAATCCATTGGTGACTTGGCGAGGATCGAACCCGGGACCGAAGTCCCGCACTCTAGCCACTACGCCAGCTCGCTCCCCAATTTAGTGCATTAGTGATGTTTTCTACACTTGGCAAACCCACAAAATGCCACTTAAGCCCAATAATCCGTTCCAAAAACGTAAGGAAATACAATGTGAAAATAAACTTGAGATCGAACTCCTTGGCTTGTGAGAACCAGGAAACAAGATAAAACATAACCTCAAGTAAACAAGCCCAAACGTTTGACATCAGTCCTGCTGAGCTAAGGTGTTTGTGAAGATTTCGGCTGCTAGTGTACTTAATTCAAGCAACCAACTTTTGAAAATAAATGTTGTGAATTGTCATTTTCAAGAGAGAGAAAACTGTGGACTTGGCTAATTTGAAATTCTATAGTTCAAAATCGTCATTTAAGTTTATTTACAAAGCTTTACATTGTTTTGTAGGTTAAAAATACATATGCAGCTTATTATTAACCGCGCCGAACTATCCGAATCCGAAAATATCCGAATCCGAACCTCCCAATATCCGATCCGATCCGAACCGAGCCTCAACTATCCGATCCGAAATGAAATTTCACTATCCGCACACCTCTATTTTTAGGGTCAAAATGGGAAAACTCAATTTTAACCCCAAAAAACCCTTATAAACCCCCGTTCCCATAGTCCAATCATGCTGGTTCGCGAACTTGTCCGAATAAATATAGGTTTACTTGTTTATACAAAATTTCATCAAAATCAAATCATTTTTGCTTGAGATATCGTGTTAACGGACACACACACACACATATATATATAAAATGAATTTGAATAAATTGTGATTTTGGCCTCTGGGGACTTAAAAACAAAAAAGTAAATCAGTCCCGGGTGCGGGTCTTACCATGAGTACTATGGTAATAGCTTATTCCCTACATGAGAAATTTGTTAAAAATACATATAACTCCCTAAACCCAAGGAAATACATTCAAAACTGGTATTTGTATTGAAAAGCACTGCTCAGGATTTGTAATTGATGGTTGTAATGAAAAATCCTTAGTTTTCATTTTCTCATTCTTGTACCAGCATAGTAGTATAATAATTAGCCATATTTTATTGTTATATTATTATTATTATTCTGAGCAGCAACATTCCATGATTTAAACTGTAAACTCCTGTCAATTATTAATTAACCGTGAATGGGTGACTTGAGAGCCCTCTAGATTATACCTCTGTAATAGTTGTTAGTAATTTTGGAAGATAATTATGTTTTGAGAGGAAGAACAGGCTTTCCTGTGTACAAAACTATCATACTTGTCAGTGTATCAAATGAATCTATAGGAAGGTAAGCCTGATTTTGATGTTCATTCTAAAAATAATTGTTAAATAAGATTACTAGGATGCAACTAACACAATCACAATGGCTTATAGACCGAAAAAGTAAGACTGACGTGTTGTGTTTGTAGATCAAGTAGCCGTGGGGCTAGAGGGTCACTTGGGTCCGAACGGTGAACTGTTGGAGCCTGGCACTTGTGAGTTGGCGAGAGCTCGTGTAGAACAGTACTTCACACAACTGAGGGAGACGCTACTACTTCAGGTAATGATTATCACCAGTAAACAATTAATAACGCCGTGGTCATTGCCACAGACCGAGGTATACATTTGAATCTTACATATAGACCGGCTGTCACTTGGTTAACAGTACACACAGACCACGGGCGAAACCCTGTAAAACAGTGATCATTTACATTGTAATACGCAACAATCGTGTTTGTAAATAATTTATTCTTGTTTTTTGCATTTTTTATAACCATTTGTAATGTTGCATATTTGCGACGCCCTATAACTATAAATGCGACTATAATAGTGAAAACTATTATAGTTTTCTTGAAATAGACCAAACATCGCATATATGCGACAGTTCATTTTTGTTTGTGTTTTGAGGTGAAATTAAGTAAAAAAAAAAACAGATTATTCAAGAACAGTTTATAACTGAACAAATATAAAAGCTACATAGGCTATTAACTACAACTATTATATGACGTCACCAATCATCATATCCACAGACCACGCGACGCAGTTTTGCGTCAGACATCTCTATAGACCACTGCAGGGAATTCAGTGCCTTCAAATAGACCGTTACAAAGATATAAGCATTTTAATAACATTAGAACCCTGAGGCAAATATGTGACAGCAGTCTATTTTAATGTGACTAGCCTTCGCATATATGCAACATTATCCCATATGTGCGACATTATCGCATATGTGCGTCACTGGTCCATGTGAATGAAAAATTTCGTGCTATTGCGTAGCGAACGTGTTAAATTTGATTCATACAATATTGACACACCAGGATGTGTATTTTACTTGATCAATTTATGAATACGGTAGTTTAATGATGTAGGATAGCTGGGTCTATTGAACTATTGTGAATGTAATGAGCTTTCTCAGGATTAAATTGGTGACTTGACTACCAAGGGAACAATATATAGGCCTATGACTTCTCGGTAAACCCAACTCATCCAATTGTTGAACCAGGGTAGTACGGGGTCCGGACACTATATACCTTTTTAAAATTTAATTTTTAGTTAGTGATGTAACATACATCTCAACGGCGTGGGATTCAAAGGATTTTTATTAGGACATAAGGCTTACTTGACAGGGGAAGAGTTTATCTTGGAACAACCAACAGAAAACTTCCTTTTAGGAAAAAAGCTCTTGCTTTTTTAAATGAAAATTTCCCTTGAACCCTAGTCCCTTATGCTTGTGCCCTATGTGACAACCTCAATTTTAAACTAATAACATGAAAGAAAGGTGATTAAAATATTTTGACAACTCAACGCTCTAGCACAATAAAATCCCTTACTCTTTTCATTGTTTGCCTTCTTCCATCATCCAATGTCCTTTTATAGTGAGTTCCTGATTGTCAGTTCAGGTTACGTTGTTCGGTTTGCTTAAAAGTCAACTGTTGCTGCCAAGACTCATCAGTAAGATAGCTTTATCATTTTTGCGTCTTTACTACCTTACGTCTTGCATTTGTTTCAATCATATGCCTATGTAATTATTGTATATTTACAAGTTGCTTTGTCAGTGTTGAGCTTCCAACATCCTAAACATGCTACTCATCCAGGAAAGTGTTTATTGAAATTACATGAAATCCTCTGTTAGGCAAGTCGGGCAAGAAAACTATCATACTCGTACCGTCAACACCTTTTACTGTCCTTGTAGGTTAATACTAAAGGTTATGTACATACATTAGCACACGCTGGTTGAGGTGGAGGCTGACAACCCCCCACTCAGATGTTTGAGCTATCCCATGTTATCGTAGTTATGTCTTTGGACTACGTAGGTGAGAAGGCATATTTTGTTAACATATTAACGTCCGTTTCAGGAAGCAGCTGCTCGTAGTGCTGTAGACACGCACGTGAGAGAGAGGTTGTGTTCTCTACGGCAACTGCAGGAAGAGGTGGCTTTGTGGTGTTCTCAGGTTGGTAAAATTATGAGACCAGAACAAGTAGACCTGTGTTGACCAATTGTTGAAGATTTTAAGTTTAATTTAATTGAAGATAATGTTGAAATATTGACAGAGCACTTCAAAGATATTTTAGAATAGAAATATTTTTAGGTCATGATATTTCTTAGACTCTTAGACATGTACAAAATTTACATAGTTTTAAATATGTAGCTAACTGAATGAAAAGATGAAGCTCAAATAGAGTCACATGTTAAAGTTTGTTAAAATGAATAACCATGCACACACTGATAAATCTATTTTAAAAAGTTTAAAAAATGTGAATTATCCAAAGAAAGGTTCAATCATGTGGTTGAGAAGGTTTTATATTGCGGTTAGAAAATTTAAAACTGATGATAATTTTAAAGATTTAAAGGAGTGAGGAATTTGGGGTTGTAAGTCATTCTACATTGTGATTTAAAGTGGATGTGAACTATCCAAAGGAAGGTTCATTCATGTGGTTGAGAAGGTTTAGTATTGCGGTTAGGAAATTTAAAACTAATGATAATTTTAAAGATTTAAAGGAGTGAGGAATTTGGGTTTGTAAATCATCCTACATTGTGATTTAAAGTGGGCTGAACTCATCATTATCTAGCTAGAGTAGCAGATTATCAGCTGTTGTTTTTTTTTTGTTGCTCATAAAAGGCAGGCTTTGAATAGGATTATGAAGTTTTATGTGTACAGTAAAATAGCCAAAGATTAAACTTTCAAATACTTAATTTGAACTAATTCAACAAACGTCTGAGTAGAATTTGTTGGAACAGAATGTTTGCAAACTATAATTCAAATAGAAAGATGCACTCAACTATCGATTAATCAGGATAAAGTAGGGTTGAGGCTTTCCAGATAAATCGCTATAAATCTGCAATACCTACTATTGAACTACAAAACCGTATCAAACAATTGTAATTAACATATTTGTATAGCACTAAAGCATACTGGTACCTGAATGTTACGTTTGAACAGGTAACACAAAGAATAACAAACCTATTTGAACACAATAAGACTCGTAAATACAATGAATATGTACATCTACCCTTAAATTACTTCCTTTGAAAATAATCTTTAACAGTTTTCTGTTTTGGAACAGAGAAAAATCTCTTTTTTAATACAATACAATACAATATTCTTTATTGTTAATTCGTCAAGAATTACAATAGTGTCAATACAATAGTGAATTGTACAAGTTAATTTTCATAAAATTCCTTTATTGAGTAGAAGGGTTTTGCGATTAGCCACTTCTTCAACTCCTGGTGTAGCTTGTTGCCAGTCAGGTCTCTCAGGTAGTCAGGTAGATGGTTCCTCAGCTTGCAGCCGTTGTAGGAAGGTTTTTTCTCCCAAAGAGTTGTTCGGTGAACTGGTAGTGCAAATTTGGAGCCATGACGGGTGTTGTAGTGGTGCAGGTCTCGGTTTCTTGGGTGGTTTATTTCATTCACATACTTAATAGATTCAAGTATGTAGAGAGACACCACTGTGAGGATTCCTAGGTTTGCAAATGCTAGTCTGCAAGTCTGTGGTGGGACAAGGTTGGCGAGGGCTCTTATGGCTTTCTTTTGAAGGACAAGAATCCGATTCATTAATGTACTTTGATGATTCATAGCATAATTTGACTGCAACTGGAGCGTCAGAGAAATTATCTGGAGAATTTATTACAAACACAGTGTGGGGGGGGGGGGTGTCTTAGTAGACTCGGATGGAGATGAGGGAGATGAGTTATTTATGGTTATGGTTTATATTTATGTCCTATTGCGCTTCCTTCGAAGAAAAACATCCGTCTTCGGTATCTTGACTTGTCTTGTGAATTAGGAATGTCTCTGTGTGTGTTAAATTTTACTTATTTTCCCCTAGTTAAGCCTTACTCCGTTTACGGTTAATTGGAAAACGAGTTAACATTAGTTAGTTGTACCAGAATTGGGAAATAAAACTTAGCTTTGCTATTCACATCTAGGTGGCAGTGGTGTGTATACAATGTGAGCTCACTATACAACAAGATGACGCCAGAGTGTTGGCTGCCAGCCAGGAGATCAAGGAGGCGTTGGCTTCCGTAGAGAAACCACAACAACAGTACGCAGAACTGAGCCCCGAGCAACTACAGCCTGACCCAAGCATTCCCATAACCTTTGCTAAACACTGCTATTCACATCTAGGTGGCAGTGGTGTGTATACAATGTGAGCTCACTATACAACAAGATGACGCCAGAGTGTTGGCTGCCAGCCAGGAGATCAAGGAGGCGTTGGCTTCCGTAGAGAAACCACAACAACAGTACGCAGAACTGAGCCCTGAGCAACTACAGCCTGACCCAAGCATTCCCATAACCTTTACTAAGGTAACTATCTGTCAGGATGTCTAGATTGAGAGAGGGTTTTTTACACTTTTCTTAAGTTTAATTACGTTTTAACAGTGGTTCATTGTTGAATGTTTCACATTCCTACCACCTAATCACAGTAAGAATATGATATTTTGCAATGGGGATAACGTATGGGTAAAAGGTTGTAAAATATTCCCACAATACAAAATAAATTATATTCGCCTCGGATAAACCCACAGAGAAGGTTTGACCCTTATAGTGACACTAAAATTTGCCTGGTGGCAAAGAAATATCTCAGGAGGTGAAAATATTAACCACATCTAGTAATTAATTGGTATTTGTTGCATGACTACAACTGCAGCAACACATACATTGAAATGTGTTTTTTAAACGATACTCAATCACAACGGTTTACAGTTTATCGAAACGCGCTCCTTTCTCACGCCACATCTACACATACGCACTTCACACCTCATGGACAAATCGTAGCACTTTAGTACACGTAATGCGATATCTCAAGTAACAGATACATAATGATCGGTACATTTACAGAATGGACGATAAACTGGATTTTGTGGGTAATGAGACAAGTGCCCCTTACGACTTGATACGAGAATTAATCTGAAGGCGGGTGTAATTACATTGGATGTATTACCGTCCAAAGGAGACATATGCCTCACGCGGATTAAAATGTTAAAAAAAAAAACTCAAAAGACCACCAGTCTTCAAAACAAAACATCGAGGTAAATTAGCTCGAACTTACGACTAAACACCTATGAAGATGATTTTCAGGGTGTCTACCAACCGGGAAAACCGGGAATTGTACTTAATTTTTTACTGGCCATGAAATGTACGGGAATTGTCCTTAAATGCCAGACTATGTCCTTAAATTTTTATTGGGTCATAATTTTATCGATCGCTAGTTGGTTAGGAGCACATAAAAGGTTTATCAGATGTTTGTTTACATTTTCATAATTTATTACTAGAGTAATTATGCAATAAAAACCCCATTAGCAGTCTCAAACCCATTAATATTTTATCACGATAATCAAGTGTCAAGTCAAGTAGGTACTTCCAAGAACTGTTGACTCAGTAGTAGCTTAGCTCATAAAAGTTTTATCACTTTTATTCCTTTACAACTATTTATTTATTACTAGGGTAATCATTACATCCCAAACATATTTTATCATAGAAATAATAATTTTATAATGGCTGTTAAATTTCACTTCTTACTTGTACTTCAATTTGCCGCTGGCCATTGCCTAGTGCCATAAAACTGTTTATGGTTTCATATAAAACATGTAACTAATCTACAGTCTTATTTTGTAAGTTAAAAAACCTTTTTTATGGATATTTTATCTTTCAATTGACAAAACCAAAAGCATTGTTGTTTGCATTAAATTTTTATCACTACGTAGGCCTACTTGGTTTCAAATTATGTCATTGCATTTTCTGTATCTTTGTACATTATTGGCGGTCAGGTTTCAATTTTTTTTTATTTCCCATATTTATTTATTGCGTTGTATGCTTTAAGCAATCTAAATCTTATGAACTAGAATGATGATATTGTAGTGACTTTGCTGATATTATAACCTCATTGTTTGTTACTCAGTTTATATAGGCCCTCCTAAATAATTAGGCCTAGGCCTGGGTATTTTGATTCTTTGAAAGTGCTGTAAAATATACTAAGAAAATGTAATTGAGCCTAAGATAAACTAATGATTGCTATGTGTCGATATTAACTTTGCAGATGAAAAGACAATAATCTTACTCTGTGCTTACTGGTAGCCGCTTACCATACCGATTTTGTACCTAGAACCAAGTTACAATATATTCATAATGCATTAAAGAATTTTTTTCAAAAGTAGTCGAGAACCTAACGTTGTGCCAGGGCGAATAATGCCAAATTAATCCGCCTGGATCGGATAAGCTATGTTATGATGTTTCCGTGACCGATTGAGATATTTAGGATTTTGTCGCTATTGCAGGAGACAATGATTGCGTTTTTCTGTTACACTATAAAAGCTGTACCTAAAGTATGTTTGTTTACTTTCAATAAGTTTCTATTTTGAAATTTAATTCTTGTCTATTATTATTTACTTTTCTCTCTGGAACAACTACAATGAAGAACAAGATTAATACAGTTTGACAAATCAGGAATACAGTCCAACCTCAGTATAACGAATCTGAAGGGACCGAACTGAATATTCGTTATATCAATGATTTTGTTAAAACGAGGTTCGTTATATAGAGGTTAGGTTTGCAGGAATTTCGCTAAGTCGAGGTTCAGAACCAGCGTCGGTCAATATAGGTCGGGATTTGACCTCATTAAAATACAATTAAAGTAGCATAGGCTACGCTACAATACTTTACAGTACAGTGTTTACATTGTAAAGTAGAGCCAATTATCCGGCAAAATAAAGGGGAGGGATCTTGAATATTGCGCAATATTGACAATGGCTTTGACCTTGGTACAGGTTAAAAACTGCAAGTTTAAAATCAAAGCTTGTTCTAACCCTCCTAAAACCTAGCCAAACACTGTATTGCGTAGTCATAAACCATGTAAAGAACAAAACAAAACAGTAGAAAGTTTTGTAAGCTAATGCTCGTGATAGGCCGGTAGGCTACTTACAGTACAGTACTGATTTATCACAACAGAGGAATGTCAATAATAATCATTAACTATAGCATTGGTGTTGCTAGTTGAAACAAATCGTATTGAAAACAATAAATTATTAGATAAGTCATTATAAAAGTGTATAATCATAGCCAACTTAAGGATAATAAAAACACTCGTAAAAGGAATGTTAAGATAACGATGTTGCTATTCTTTCTCTTTGGTTTTGTTTTTATATTCTTTCTTAGTTTTCTCTTTATCCGAAAATTGTACAATTCACCATAGTTATCCCATATCGCCCAATCACATCTTACTAAACATTACGTCGTCATCAGTCCTCAGTGAATGAAATCAGTTCAGTTCTCAGTTGCAACATAGCGCGCGCAGCGACAGCAGACAAAGATGTAAAACGGAGCAGACGAATGTTAGCGCAAGCGATGACGTGACCTTTCCATTTCATTTGATAAAGAAACAGATTTTCCCAAAACAATAATTGGGTGGGGGATTTGTTATATCGAGGGAAAGACGTAGACAATTCGTTATGCAGAGGTTAAATTCGCAATGTAGAGGTTCTGACAATGATAAATTCGTTATATTGAGGTGTCTTATTTTAGCTGAAATCACGAAAAATTCGTTAAATCAAGGTCGTTGTTATGGTTTGTTCGTTATGTAGAGGTAAAATATACATTGTGTCTTATGGAGAGTTCTAGGGGATTAAAAAAAATTCGTTATATCAAGGAATTCGTTATATCGAGGTTCGTTATATCAAGGTTAGACTGTATTATTCTGTAATCACACCGACAAAGGTCCTTAAATGTACGGGAATTGTCCATGAATTTTTTATCCAGAATGTAGTAGACACCCTGATTTTGTTAAGATAGTTACTTTCAAACATACGGTAATATCGCCATGCGAGATACGTACCCCTCACGGAACACAACATACAACTTAATAGATTACACACTTTGTGAGTTATTAGAATACCACTAATATAGAATCGCAATTCTAAAGGGAACTTCAAATTGAGGAATACACATGATAAACTAACACTCTCTGAAAATAAAATCATACTTTATCCTTCCTTAACCTACAGAACAACAAAATGATACACTCTGAAATAAAATTCTACTAACTTTTCGCTTAAAAAACTCAACCAAAATGACTTATTATTTGAAATTTAATGGGCCTTTTATAATCGAACCGACGAGACATATGCATCCGCTCAATTATATGATGACAAATTTTGAAATGGATTTAGAGTCTTGAGGTGAGAGACATTTGCCTCTAACCGAGAGTTAATGGTTAAATTGGAGATAATTTTGAAATAGACAAGACACATACAAATCACACTAATTAGTAGATTCTAAATATTTTGGGTAGATTCTTACCCTATTGGAAAGGTGTCCTGCCCGATGTTCATCTTGACTGTCCTGTCACACATGTGCACTCGGTAACTTTTTATACCTATCCACTAGGCGGTACGATACTGACTGCCTTGGTCACTTCTTAGAGAAGTCCGTGTCCCTACGACTTGTGGCGGGGGAGGGAGGGTAGCGATATCATGGTGGCGCTTGCTGGACTCCACGACCGTCCTAAGATTTACTTATCCGGTGGAAAATTTTAAATTCACTGTCACAATTTCTATAGCCAAATTCGTTGGTGATTTTAGCACAACTAACAAACAAACCTTACTATCAACATTTAGCAAAGATAAAAGTTTGATCAAATATCCAATTGTCAAACATAGTTTTTTTATTATATGCTATAAGTGAAGGAAATTTGTATAAATTGAGGTGCTTCATGTAGTCACTAACAAGACTACAAAATCACGCCACTCATCTCCATTCATACTTGGCTTAAAATACCTACTTAGTTTGGTTAGTTTGCCATTTCATTGAAAAGTATTAAAGTATTTAAAAGAGTAGCTTTGTTACTAACTAAACAGCTGAATCATCTGTTCCATTAGCCAGGACCATCATACTAAACATTATTGTGTGCAGGACAACCGAGTCCACATCGGGCCGAAGATTGAGATGCGAGTGGTGACCCTGGGACTGGACGGAGCTGGTAAAACCAGCATCTTATTCAAGCTAAAACAGAACGAGTTCATGGCTGTCATCCCGACCATCGGCTTCAACGTGGAATCCGTGGAGTACAAGAATGTTAGGTTTAACATCTGGGACATCGGCGGACAGCCGAAGCTGCGGCCATTGTGGAAACACTACTACCTCAATACACAGGTAAGTCTGTTTATGTTCAATGTATCAATGTCGGAATATTGAACAATGTCTAATTATCTGCTACAATAATCTTTTAAATTCCAGTTGATATCTTGTTTTGCATTCACTTTTGCCTCTTCAGGCTGTACAAGAATAAGTGTCTTTTGTATTCCTTCAGCGGTTTGAAAAATTGAAAAAAAGTATATGTGAGGAATTACAAACCCTTATGGTGAAGTTTAGGACCCAAATCTGCAATTGTAAACAGGCATGAACACAATTTTCAATACATTTTGGTAGGCCTATTCCAGAGATTATTACAGCCTTCATTAAACTTGTGCGGTCTCTTATCTTAGTTAATACAATCTAAATTTTGGTTTTGATGATGTATAATGTCCCCCTGTTAGATAGCTTTGATGATTATTAGCACTATAATAAATTGTGACTATGTTAAGAACCTGCTTGAGCTTAAACTGACAATTTTAAGATTTGAGTGTCAACATTGATCAAATAGCTTTGAAATCCGGTCAGTTTTCTAGTTTTTGTGTCCGTCAATTTTATTTCTGAGATTTATTATTGTTTTCTGAAGTGGCTCAGCTCAAAGCAATAAGTGACTTTTACCTTCAGTTAGCCAGATCACATGGGTCGCAGAGGCCTGAGGGTGGAACATATCAAGCAATGCAAGGGGTGGGCCACAGGGATGAACTGCAAAATTGTCACCACTGGATCACAAACCCAAAGCCCAAAGTCAAAAATAAATTAAAAATGAAAAAACATTCATGCTTTGGTTTTACAGACAACTCAATGCAATGTCTTTCTGTACCACAATGGCTACCTTGCAACTTAATAGTACACACTGGTATTGGTACACAAATAGTAAAAGTATTGTAAATGGCGTTTGTTGCACATATAATAAATAAATAGTTGTAGCTAAATACTGTTGGTGTTTCACAGGCCGTAGTGTTTGTGATTGACTCTTGGGATAGACAACGACTCCCCGAGGCTCTTAGTGAACTATCCAAGCTCATGTCGGAAAAAGAGTTGAAAGACGCTGCGCTTCTGATTCTGGCCAATAAACAGGTACTGTAGATTCACAATTTGTTAGTTATCAGTTAGATCAGGGTGATTTGTCATAATTTTTTTTCAAACTGATGTTTTAAATATATATGTTAATTTAGACTAAAGATATTTTCTTATGAATAAATAATACAATATCCTCTCCACCAATACCACAAGTTAAGCAATGATGAACAAACTACTAGTTAAGTTTGGCTTTAGCCTAGATATAAGGCAGATAAAATAACAAAAGTAGAGTGTAGTTGTAGATAAGTGTTGCACTGAGTGTTTGTTTTTATACTTAAAACCAAAGAGGGTAACACAGAAGATTAGATGATCGATGATTGTGTAATCAACTTCATATTAAATCAAAGCTTACCTGACCAAAAATTCCTTGAAAGTTGTTTAAGCTGATCTATATTATAATGAATAATCTATTGAGTAGGCCTATATTTAATCTGTGATATTTTCTTGAATATATTAGTCTAATATAGATTTACAATACCATCATCACTTCCATTGAAACCATACAATCGCCTCGAGACATCACATTCAAAACCTAACATTAAACCTTGTATTAAATACTTTTCTATATCAATTGCCTGAAATGAAAAAAAAACATTTTTGATCTATTAGCAGAAACAGTCTGAGGTATTTGACAGTGGCATCCTACCAAACAGTTTGACATTTTTTTGCCATCCCCGGTTTAAGGATTTAAATTATATAAGAACTTTTTTTTCTGTGTTCTTGTCTTGGGAAGGTAAGATGTTTGTGTTACCCTATGAATTTCGCCCGCTTGTGTGGCATCTTTAGGGATCTTTTTGAGTAATCTTATCACTAACAATATATATTTACGTAATATTTACACACATGGGTCACTAATATCTCGGTTGGGTTGATCGAACAACGCAACGTCGGACTCACAGCCGAGTCACAATGGGAGGTCTTTCTAGCTTTGTTTCGTTTATTAAGACTGGGACGGTGGCGCCGTCCTGTAATCCAGCTACTTGGAGGTAACGAATTGTGGCTATTAATAGGCATGCACTGTGGATGCAATACTTCCTGGTGTGGATTAACGTCTGCACTATTGAGTACTACGACTATCCACAGTACTATCCTGATAATTTTACCAATTCGTTAATTACAAGGCCAAAATGTAGTTCAGATTCCACTATAAACTGTAGGTCCCTTAGTTGCCATTGGCTGTGTGAGCTATTAGTTAAAAGCTGTGTCTAAGGAATATTTTGAGCTTAGTCGCTAAAAAGACTACAAGATCGCGCCACTCGTCCTACACTCATCTTCATTCATACTTGGCTTGAAATACCTACATTTGTTTGGTCGTAATTTTAAAGAAAAGTATTAAAGTATTTCACTGGAGGTGTAGGAATTTGGGTTGTTCCGACGGTTGAGGGTAGTTATAGTTACCGACAAGACTATAGATCAAAGCATCTGTTCAACCGTAAATGGTTCTGGTTAGGTTACGCTATGATGGGTTATGTTATGATAGGTTAGGAATTTTAACACAATATGTTTGTGTAGGACCTGTCTGGATGTGCGAGCATTGAGAGTATCTCGGAGCAGCTAGCGTTGGCCAAGCTGTGTTGTGGTCACAGTTGGCACATTCAGGCGTGTGATGCGCAGAGTGGAACAGGGCTGCATGATGGACTGGACTGGCTCTCTCGTCAACTTGTGGCGGCCGGAGTGTACGACATGACGTAACCTGTCATGTGTGAAGGTAAAATCCACCAGACTAGGCCGAGTCTCGCGATCTTTTCTTATCCTTCCATAATTCCTTTTCCTCCATTTGCCATCCCACTCTCATTCTATTCACTAAACTGTCCATCTTCCCCACAACCCGGCTGTGCATTCTTCCTTGCTAGGTCTGCCATTCCGTTTCCTTCTGTTTATCCTTATCAACTCGGTTTTCCTAGGAATCCTCTCTTATTTTTATGCTCAAATCATCTTAGTTTACCTCTTTCTTCCTTTAATACTAAAACCCTTGTATTCTTCTGTTGCAGGCTTATCTCTTGATGCATCATCAACTATTGGAAGGACTGAATTAAGTTATATTTAAATATGATTGTACTCGTACAAGTTTTACATTTGTTTGTTTTGAAAATATTTGACAAATTCCTGAAGTAAATTGTGAAAGCGAGATTGTATTAGGTACTTGATTTAAAGAATTAATTTGGTTAATTTACACAAAATATAAATACGGTGTGTCATATTTATTAAATAATTTCATTGAGTTCTATTTGAAAGGTTGATTTTATAGACAGCTTTAAGTTTCAACTCAATGAATATTACTTTTAGCTTATTGTGAAGCTTATTGTTTTTATTAAGTTTTATAAAATTATCTGTAAGTAAATTTGTATAGTATAGTGTAGTAAACAAGACAGAGGAACTTCATTTATGTGAAATACAGTTATGATGGCAAAAAGATCCTCCGCCCTTTTATTCTTTAAACCGGGTATTTAGAAACCAGTGCTGCTTGTCAAATATAAATACTGTAAAGATGAACAACATCCCATATAAAAGAGTCCTATAATCCACTTTTTCCATAAGCAAACTTTAATTTACTTTTATTCCTCCAAAAAAATGTCCCTCTCAGTAAAAATAACTGTGCATTTCTTTACCTTTCTATTGTAAAGAGAATTTTTTCCTGTTTTTAGAAATTAGTCGTTTTAGTAAACACTGAAGCTCAGGACTCTTGTTAGTTGTTTACGATGTTAAGGCTGGACTTGAGGTTGTGCAATAGTTAGTTTGTACATAGTGTATAACATGCAGTAATACTCTATACAGATAGGATATAAAATGTTCCTGATCATAGCTGACGGCAAATAATGCTTGAAACTGGACTATTCCAATAATTGAGTACCGTATCGTATCCAAAAAGTAGTGGATTAGGTTTGATTTGCTGTGTATGTGGCTGACATCAACATTCATTTTTTAATGTCTATCTTTTACTTGCTTGTTTTCATTCAACATGGAGTTACTTAATGAAATCTTGTTCCTGAAAAGTAGCTAATGAGTTTTTGGTTTTCATTTAGAGTTAGACTCTAATACTACCATGAGTTCACCGTAAAGAAATATATAGTTATAAATTTTATTATTCCCAAATGAAGAAACTACAGAGAAAAGGTTTAAACATTGTTATGGGGAACTTGTCTCCTATGATATACGATTTAGTTTTCTTCCACTTATTAAAGGATGGTAGAAAAAGTTAATGTTTCGCTGTTTTGTGTTTGGGGCGTGTACTCTTGCGCAACAAATTAACAAATAATTGCAGCCGATTGTTCAATGGGAGATGGGAATGGCACAAAACAGTCTATCTTCTGTTCTCGAACAAATTTCAAGATTTTTAAACCGCTTCCCATTAAATGCATTTAGTATTTGTAATAAAAAATCGCCGCAGACATTAAAACTAAAAAAGAAGAATCAGAGATTTTTACCTAGCTTTGAGGTGGTTACAATTTGCCAACAATTGGAAACTTTATTAATTCGTCCTATATTGGTTCCACTGTGAAAAGGTGTGTCTTACTACAGGATTATTTATACGTATCATTAAGCTGTATAGGCTACCATCCCAGTTAAATGTTTATTTACCATGTATTGTATATGTTGGATCTATCTTCGAATATCTGTCTTCTAATAAATAAGTGTTAGTATTATGAACATAAGATAAATAATTGTAAAGTTCTATTATTAATTTGTTTTCTATAGTGTAAAGTGTTTTGTAAAATAAATTTTGTTGAATCTGAGAAAGTTGTTCTTATTTTATATAACACTTGGTACTGTATATGAACACGTTTTACTGAGGCGTAATAATGTTAAGGTCATTCATTGAATTTTAGCCTTTGCATTGCATTTATACTCTTAAAACTGGTTTATGTATTTTATACCTACATTAATGCAATGACTTCCCTCTATCTTTTAGCAAGCGTTTCTTTGAGGAGGTGGTGTACCAAATATAGTGTGATTGTTGACGGAAAGCGGCTGGCTGAAGGGTCGACCCTACTCACACACACGCAGGCCTCACACACACAGACGCAAGGGATTAGGACGGACGTGGGACGGACCATTGACCTACCGCGCGAGTCATCGCTGGCTCACGGAAATTAAACTATTAATTTTTTAATTTTACGTTGGTTATAAAATCTGGTAACGCTTTTGACTTCAGCTCAAAATGCTAAGTAAAATGATACCAAACAATATATATTTTGCTTACAAAGTGTAAAAGCTACGAATATTTTAACACGCTTTGATTAGCTAGCTACTTGTCATAATCATTTCGTGTTTGGACTCATTTTTCATTGAATTAAACAACAAATGTATTAACACTAACCATTTTACTGTATATCTCACATCAAATGAATTGCAATTTTGAAGTATCAGTACCTGGGGACCGAGCTTTGCTCGGGAAATCATTAGTATTTACTCTGAGAGAAATATTTGTTCAATGTCATCTATCAAAAACATAATTGTTTATCAGTCTGTTATAATAGTAATATTGTAGTTGACTTTGTTTTTTAAGCAAAATTGATGATTCTCATGTAAATTAATATAGTAATTTATTCTATCTTTAAACAATAAAATATTGTGATTTATTTTTCAAAAAAATAAAAACATCCTAATTTGGCTACATTGTAGTTGAGTATGGACAACATGGCATGCGTTAATATTGCAATTTAAGTTCTAAGGATTTCCACACAAGAACTGTAAGCATCTCAATTCACTTTTCCAAATAGTTTTCTTAAACAAACAAAGAAAAATATCACAGTAGTTACAATTAGACTGAGGCTGCATTTATTGTAAAAACATGAAAACTACAAATTGTTTATACGATTGTTTTTTATAGACTAAAACAAATAACATAACAAACACATAAGAATTCAAATTAGTCAGTTTTAAACCAATTTTAAACTATAAAAATGTAATGGTGATAAGCATTCAACTGTGGTAAAATAGGATATAATACAATTACATATTTTACCTCTGCTCTAGATTCTAATTTGACTATATTCTTCAGATTATCGACAATTAAGTCAACAAACTATTTAATCCAAACTAAATAATTTCAAGTAAGGTAAGCTAGTTATTATGGTACAAATTTAAATATTAATTACATAGACCAAAATGAACTAACATTTTCAATATTGTTCATCTGAATATTTCCATCCAAACAACGTTTTTAGTTAATTTTCTGTCTCTAGATGGCAAAACAACTTTTAAAGAGTTTCTTGTTCGTACTCTGGAGAAAGCTACATAGAGCATCCCATGCATGAATACGGGGTTGTTTAACACAACACCAACAGACTGAAAGGTTTGGCCTTGAGACTTATGGATGGTCATAGCAAAAGCTGGTCGAACTGGAAACTGATGTCTTTGCAGCGAACATCCGAGTTGACACTTGCTCGAATCCAGAGTGACTCTTGGAATGTGGACATCTCGACCAGAATGACTGCCAGTAATTATTTTAGCCTTAATAATGTTCGGACACAACTCCGTGACAATCAGTCTTGTGCCATTGCATAAACCCTCCGTCACGTCTAGGTTTCTGAGTAACATTATAACGACGTTGTTTTTTAGTCGGAGTTCATGAGGTGGTAAATCTGATATTTCAATTGAGTTTAAAAACTCAGTTGGGAATTTGAGAGCTCCATCAGGTTCATCTTTTACTGAATCAAAACTTTTATAAATTGTTTCTTGTCCAGGGATAATTTGGATGATCTCGTTATTGATATTATCAACATCTCTATTTAAAGGTGCAAGGATGGCTCTATCTCTCATAGCATTGTAATCTCTGTTGGCTAGGCAATCGCCATATATTTGTTCAACAATATTTCCATTTGAAATAATGTCATCGGGAATATTTATTTCACAGTCATTGTTGGTGGGCAAATCTCCATTTCCAAGTTGAAGGAGATATCCAGCAAATGCACTTTCATCGAGATTGACTCTCATGTTTTGATGAAGAGAGAAGAGCTTGAAAAACTTCCAAATACTGCAACGTTTTACAGAAAGGTCGATCAGCTCAGATCGATTTGCTCTAGGCTGGACTGGAAGGCATTGGCGGAAGTCTCCTCCTAGGATCATAGTTTTTCCTCCAAAAGGCAAGTTTCTGTTTCCTAAGCTTCGCAGGAGTCCGTCAATACAACTTAGGCCATATTTTGGTAGCATTGGTGCTTCGTCCATCATAAATACGTCTACTTCTGCCAGTTCTTGGGCCTTCTGAGTGCCTGGCTGAATTGATGATTTAGAATCGCTAGTCAATGGAACTTTTAGACCAAAAGTCCTATGGGTAGTACGTCCTTCAGGTAGCAAGATTGATGCAATGCCGGTATACGCCATGCATTTTACATTAAGATTTTTTCCAAGAATTAGATGGTAGAGGGTATTGTACACGTATGTCTTCCCTGTACCTCCTGGTCCATCGAGGAAAAAACACTTGGGGATGCAACTCATCGGGTCTTCTATTGCTTCCATAACAGCATCAACAAAGTCTTTTTGTTCGTTATTCAAATTGCTATATTGTCTGCGACCAATGGCTTCTAATTCGCTGACATTGTGGGTTTCTTCATTTCCCTCGTCTTGAAAATTCTGAATGTCATCCATACCATAGTTTTCCACCCAAAATTGGAAGTTTCGGCCTGAAATAAATAATTATTTTGAGTTCACTTTTTACAAAATCATAAGTATTAAAACATGTAGTATAATTTATTTTAGTCTAATGCTTTCTCTTATTTTAATTTGTTATAATATTCATTGCATATTTTTTATTTTTATTTTGCTTCACACTTATATTTAATAAAATTTGAACAATTATACACTCTAATTTTACAATTATCATAAATGACATTAAAAAATATAAACGTTTCACAATGTTAATAAAGTTTATGGTCAAGTAATCTACTAATGAGTTACAGTAACAAATGCTAAATATTTAATTTAATAATAAGTTAGCATTTTCAATTCTGTACATAATTAGTATGGGTTAGTTTCTCATATTTTAGAACTTATGTGAAGCCTAAGTCTAGTGCGCTTCCAATGTTAGAATTGAAATTTAAGCCATAGAATCAGTTGATCAAAAGTAATTGTATGTTATTGTTATTGATACTATGAGAAAGAATTACCTTCAGTAGCTTCAGTATTCAGCTTATGGGCAATAATACGGTAAGCCTTCATGAGTGTTGTGATCATTTACTGCATGACTTATATTAGAAGATTCATTACAATAGGGAATGTAGTGAAATTGCACGTGAAATAATAGTTAAGTTGAAATAAATTTAGCAGAAATCTACTACCCAATAAATATAAAAGGAGGTGTATAAGTTAAAGCTAATTAAAGATTATTCCATCCTCTCATTAATTTAACTACCGCACTCGACATTGACAGAAATTGGTTTTTCAGTTATAATATAATATGCTCAATGGTATAATCTGAATGTTAATTTCCTTTGCTCTGTATACACACATTGTTATTTCCTTTTGGTCTGTGTAAACATATGCTACAAATAGCATGGGCAAGCTGAGGTGCCCGTGGGTACAGAACGTCATGTTATGTCTTAAAATGTAAACAAAATGACAACAATGGCGGAATGTTTTCTCATAAGGCCCATGTTAAATTTTCAAAAGTTTGCACTCATATTATGGCGAAAATAGATTTTTCCTGGCTATACCACTGGTCTAGAACTTATTTTTGGCACAGAACTTAGTTATTCCGTAAATATAAACGATTTTGTTAGGGCCGATTCCCAGATCGAGTGGACAAGTATTCAAACTTTACTCGTATTATATATAGGATAGTAAGGACTGTATTAGATCATCTTTGATCATTATTTTGAAATGACTTTTAAAGACATTAAAATAATTGAATATTGATATGGTATTATGTATGATATGTTGAAGTAATTCACTAAAGATTGATATTTAACTTTGGTAGACCAATAGACAACATTCATTGACCATCGGCATGGCTAACCTACTCGCTGTCAGTTTAAGAGAAAGATATTATCATTTAAAATAAAATATAAATAAATATATTATACATTTTGAAGGGGTATCCACTCAAAATAAACTTAATTTAAGTTTTGTAATAAGTAATATTTATAAGTTGATTATTACCTTCTGTAGCTTCAGTATTTAGCTTGTAAGCTATGATTCTATATGCTCTGTTGTAAGAATCTTCTAGAGGGGTTCCAGAAATCTCTGCTTCTCTAAGAAAATCTTCTGCCAACTCGTCCTTAAACATATCCCAGAGACGTTTAGGGTTTTCTGGTGATCCGAGAATCAAGATTTGACAAAAGAGTGTCCTCATGACACTCGGCATCTTTGACAAAGCGGATTCCCGCAGCCCATCAATCCATTGCTGGTCATCATATGTAAGGCCTTTTGCTAGGCATGCTTGTTTATAAGTGGAATAGGCAGTCCCATTTACAAATTTAAGGTCTTCAAAACTTTTGGCATCTTTGGTATGGAAGAGGAGCATTCTTAAGTGATAAAGTTCAGGTTGGGCCACCAAGTTCACAGTGTGGATCCTTCCAATCGTTTTTGAGCTTCGCTGTCGTACCACCCATTCACTTGTTTTGCCTAACCATTTGTACTTTTCTGGCATCTGCCAGTAGAAGTAGTAGATTACTTCATTCCCATTCTCTTCTTCTATGTGAAGTTTAGAGTTGTGTTTAAAGTACGCCTCTAAGGTGGACCCTTTCAGGCCAGTGTCCGCTACATCTTCTTGTGTCTGTTCAATGTTTCCCACACGGTACTGACCTTCTAGATGGATGTCCAAACGTTGCACCGAATGGCTTTTCCTTTGGATTTCATTTCCAGCCAGCCTCCAACATGCTTCAGGGGGCGAAATATAACGTGCCTCAACAAATGTTTCTGCTTCATTATACATTATTCGGGCCACATTTTCAACAATTTTTACATTTGCGCAGTCATGCCCTTTATAAATGTATTTATAGAGGTACTTAACGGCTCTAACACTACCAACATACTCGATATTTATGTGGCACATGTATTTCTTCAGTAAATAGCCATTGTATGGAGCAACATGTCTATTGTCCCGTGTAACTTTTTGTCCATCACTGTTTTTGCGGTACACCGCATGGACGTGAGAAAATTCTGGGTTATTTGGATCCAGTTGTGGGTCATACCGTCTCTTGTAATTCGGTTTTTTGTTGTCAACAATTGACGTAAACTCTTGATGAGCTTTGGGGAATCCAAAGCGGCATTTAGCTGATCCACCCTTATTCTCCATACATGACGCAGACGGATTAAGTTCGCCACATGGATTGTGAATCATCCATTTGAGGACCAACTCCCTTAGAACTGGGTCATCATTAGGAATTTCTGCCGAAATGAAAGTGTCTACTTCCTCTGGAGACCGGAGTTTGTCTTCATTTGCCATGATGACAAGAAGATGTAGGTGGGGTAATCCTCGTTTTTGAAATTCTATAGTGTAAACAAAAGCAGAAGACTTCCCAAAAATCTGTTTCTTACTGATATCTTCAACTATGCTGTCAAATTTCAATTTGGCTACCCTAGCCACAATGTCAGGTCTTTCTTGGGCGAACTGTTGTAGTTTAGAACCATCAGAGAGCTCAATACATGCAGCTTCTTTTAATTCTGGCCATGTTGGACTGCACGTTATTGTGATAAAAAAGTCTGGAGAGCCAAACCTTCGGACAATTGCCATAGCGTCTTCAAAGTGTTCAGTGAAATATCTCGTTGATCCGGGAAAAGATGATGGTAAAATCAGTTTTTCAGCAACTGTAGCATTTTTCTTTTCAGCCAATTCATTTAGAAAATGTGTTACTCCTGCATACTGATCAGCTTGAAGTTTCTTTTGGTTGTATTTGATCCACTGAATACGATCACGTTCAACACGGATGTATGTGTCCACGACGTACTGTTGAAACAGTCTACCACCAAAGTGGAGAGCATTAAATCCAATCGACCTTAGATCTAATCCCTCTAGCAATGGTTCAGGAGGAAGAGCCTTGGCTTGTTCTGGACGAAAGGCTAACCTGTATTGAGCCAACTCCATCCTCGTCATGTGTGCACGGCTTGCATAAGGCGTTTTAAGAGGAAGCCCTACAGTAAACCCAAAAGTTCCTTTTGGGTAGAGGAGAGGGTAGGTGAATGGTTCTACTCGGCTGTCAATGTTCTTGAGCGTTATTAACTGTTTTCCTCGCTCCTTAATAACCATCTCATTTTCCGGGATACTTTGGTCTGCATTTAATGTAATTACAGCAGCAACTTCATTATAAGTTGGTGAGTTGAATCGCCTGGGATCATCGCCTAAAAGTAAACATCGTAAATTAATGATATGAAAAACAAAAAAATCTTAACTTTAATCGTTATTTAGTTCTAAGAGAAAAATGACACAAATAAAAATATGTTTTTTACCCTAAAAACAAAAAATTTCATAATTTCTTTCCAAACCATTTTGTAGAGCTTAAAAAAACAAATAATTTAATATATTGAAGCGTTATTGTGCGCCTAATGGTTACGGAGAAAATTCCAAAAAATTGTAAATTTAAAATTCCTATGTTATTCTTATGGAGAATAAGTCAACTGTTTTAGTTTGCTTGTTTATGAACATATTTTGATAAAATTTGTAAAATACATTCATTTTTTACTAAACTATTAACATTTTACCACAAAACATCTTTTTGCAGCAAACCTAAGTACGTTAAACTAATCTATTAAAATAGGGAATAAATGTGATACTTTTCAGGAGACATTTTAGTGTAAATCCAATCAGGCAAATGGAAATTCACTTAGTCTGCAGGTTTGCTGCGGCGGGGGTATTATTATTTTAACAGGCTGTGTAGTTATTCTTACATGCAATATAGAAAGCTACGGAGAAGAGAAGAGAAAGGAAATAAAAAAGGCTACGGCACGCTTACTTATGCTTATATGGAAGTTTTCAGAGTTTAGTACTGAGATTGCAGCAAAACGTTAGTTGTGGCGACCCTTCAATTAAATTTCCCTTCAGAGTCATCATATTTATCGAGGAGTAACAAACACAAGACAACTTACTTGATAAGTTTGCATAAGTTTTATGTTTAGTTACTGTTTATTTTATATTTCTGATTTTATATTTTTGCAGCAACTACAAATAACATACAAAATAATTGTGATTAGAGAAAACAGTATTATTTTACCTGCACGTTCAGCAAACAGGAGGTGGACATGGGGTGGTTGGACACCAAGAGCTTCAGCACGTTGATTGTTTTCCTCAACTATCTCCCTCATCATCGTAAAAGCCTGTGAAAATGGGTTTTGACTTCTCATTATCTCCTCTAAAATCTGTATTAGTTCTTGATTGATGCCTTGATTCATTGGTTCATTCATACGTTCTGCAACAGCTGTTTCCGGATCAATGAAGTACATTTGGCCATATCTAGGTCGTTCCAAATCACCCTCACTGTTGCTGACTGGCTGAGCCGCCAAATTTAACTTGTGATACACTTGTCCACCAGCAGTAAATGTATAAATACCTTTACTATTGAAAGTCCTGTCATCAGCAACATTGAATGAAGAAAAAGCAAAACAGGCAGAAATATTTCGAATTTTATCGTGGAACTGTTTGGCTAGTCTGTGTTGTTTTGTGTACAGCAATGCCAATTCATTGGGAAACTCTGGCGCAGGTTGTTCAATGCGACCATGAAGGCAACAGTCACCAAATGAATTAGGGTGAATTCTGTTCTGCACTCTCTCTTTTAAAAAATGAACAGCACCACAATGAACACATGCGATGTCAAACATTCCCAAATTGCTGTACTCTACGAGGCTTGAGGCAGCGGCTTTATAGGATTGAAGTTGGTTACGCTCAGAATTCTGTCGTATTTCAGCTGTACGACGACACTGTTCTCGCAGGCGTTGAGCACGCTCGTCTACCACTTCAGCATCCCTGCGGTTGGCATCTCTTTGCCTCTGTTCTTCAAGACGTCGAACACGCTCGTCATCGTCCTCGGCGGCTCTGCGGATAGCGGCTGCTTGCCGCAGTTCTTCAAGCCGTCGAACACGCTCGTCTTCTTCTTCGGCGGCTCTGCGGATAGCGGCTGCTTGCCGCAGTTCTTCAAGCCGTCGAACACGCTCGTCTTCTTCTTCGGCGGCTCTGCGGATAGCGGCTGCTTGCCGCAGTTCTTCAAGACGTCGAACATGCTCGTCTTCGTCCTCGGCGGCTCTGCGGATAGCGGCTGCTTGCCGCAGTTCTTCAAGCCGTCGAACACGCTCGTCTTCTTCTTCGGCGGCTCTGCGGATAGTGGCTGCTTGTCGGAGTTCTTCAAGGCGTCGTGCTCGCTTGTCCTCCTCCTCGGCAGCCCTGCGGTTGACGTCTCTTTGCCGCTGTTCTTCGAGGCGTCGTGCTCGCTTGTCCTCCTCCTCGGCAGCCCTGCGGTTGACGTCTCTTTGCCGCTGTTCTTCAAGGCGTCGTGCTTGCTTGTCCTCCTCCTCGGCAGCCCTGCGGTTGACGTCTCTTTGCCGCTGTTCTTCGAGGCGTCGTGCTCGATTCTCCTCCTCCTCAGCAGCCCTGCGGTTGACGTCTCTTTGCCGCTGTTCTTCGAGACGTCGTGCTCGCTTGTCCTCCTCCTCGGCAGCCCTGCGGTTGACGTCTCTTTGCCGCTGTTCTTCGAGGCGTCGTGCTCGCTTGTCCTCCTCCTCGGCAGCCCTGCGGTTGGCGTCTCTTTGTCGCTGTTCCTCAAGGCGAGTGGCACGAGCCTGGCTGTCTTCTGACATTCTTCTTTGCTCAAAATAATTTACCTTTTCTTCCACCATAGATTGACTTATTTGAGCACTTACATCAGAAATTATCTCCAGAGCCCTTATCTTTGCACATCTAATGGGTTTGTTGGAAGTCATCAGCTGTACAAATAAAAAATCTGTATTAAGGTTGTGTTAATTTGTAATACTGCAACATTTGTATCCTAGTCTACTGAGAGTAAAAATTGAAGCATCACCTGGCCAATTTTAGAATATATTCCTATCTACACTTGTTGCGTTATACTTACTCTTGGCATACTCCAATACCAGAATAAGAATAATAATTTATCATAATGGAAAATAAAAATAAATGTATAACAACTTCAACAAACAATACCAGTAGGTCTATTTGTTTACTAGCAACAGTAAAGACTCATGAAAATATATGATGATCCTTTAACCTATATCCACCATTAATGGTTACTTTTTGCAAAAGTTATCTTTTCTATTCTGGTCTTTAGGTACATAAGGCATTTACACTGTCCAAAAATCGAGTAATGCAATTTTTAACCGCATACAATAACAATAATGACAGATTTTTTTGCGTGATTAGAATATTTTTTTAAATTTTCTGTTTGAACCAAACTCATACTTTTCTACAGTACATTAAATGTAATTTCAAATATGAATTAACCACAAAAAGAATGGTTCAACTTTTTAAAATTATTTAGCCTACTGTGGCAATGCGGTTTAGGTATAGTTACTCATACTCACATTTTCATCTGATTGATCTGGTAACATGCGCACTCCATTTGTGACCTGAAATTTAAATATTTGTCTTTTATGCTTGTTGAAAGGTAATTTTAATTGTATCTAAGTGTAAGCTATTTTTCAAAGATCGTAAAATTGGTGACTGATTACTTACCTACTTTATTAGTTATTGGTATTATTAATTTATCACAAAATAATATTTATAAACTAAATAAATTAATACTTTTGAATAATTTTACATTAATAATACGGTTGAGATGATAATAAAGACTCACATTTTGTTCAGATTGAACTTCTAAGACACATACACCAGACCCCTCAGGTCCTTCAGGATCAGGTTCTTTTGCAGCCTGAAATAAAAAAAAAATGTTTGATCAAAGAAAGAAAATTTAAGCTCCTTTCTAAAGGTCGTAAAAAATGGTAACTAACCCTATAGCCTACCTCTTCCTCCACAATGCTACTTACTTACTTTCCGTGTCCGGAAATCAGACTTCGCTTTTCCAGAAATTAGCTACCAATATGGCTTTGTCATTCGCTTGTAAAAGGTAATCTAATGTGGTCTAGGCATGGACATCAGTACGGTACATGGCCGGGATCCTGAACAACACCACACGCACACAAGACGTTTTCTTCGTCTTGTAAGAGACCCATTTCTGCATGTTTGTCTTGCATTTTGGTACCTCAACCCTGATTCGGTCTTGAGTCTTCCACACCGTGTAATGAAGGCATCCACCAGGAGCCAGTTCCTCCCTGGCTGGTATGGGAGGGTTGGCCTCCCACCTTTCCATCCGATTGCTCTGAGAGTGATCCATCCAGAACTCGTGTCCGTGATATGAAGCTCTTTTTGGACCGAAGTAAGACTACACTACACTAAGATATTTGTGTGTAGGACAATGCTCAAGACGGTCTCCCCACCATGTCACATTCAACTTACAGCCTGCTTCTCTATTGTTTGGGTGAAAAAGGCACAAACTTTCTGCTTGAAACACTCTTGCTATTTCAATAGAACAAATTCCTGAATGATATTAGATTTTACAAATTTATAATTGGATGCTAGCTCATACAAAACCATTCTTATCTACAGGTTTTGAAGTATTGAAAACTTACCTTAAACTCCTCATGAGCTTGCCTAACTACTAAAATTTATTAGAGAAACTGACATCATTCTATTTATTTAACCATAATGACCAGTAAATTGGACAAAAGTTAAGAATTCAATTTTTTTAATTAAACAAATAAGTTTATTCCTTAGTTATCCTACCTTTATAGAATTGTTTTAATCCATCCTAAACAAAATATAACTATTTCAATGTAATGATGTTCACAAAATTGTAAATTGTCATCTAACTTTTTAATGTACCTCACACAATGAGCTATAGAGAAATATAAAATAAGCAACTCTATTCCAATTTCTGTATTCGTGGTGTAAGCTAGTAATGACATACCACACGGATTTAATGTATGTAATTAAATTAATAAAGGTATATATTTTATAACTTACCTGGTCTTCATCAGCTTTGTGACTTTTAAAGAAATTCCCCAACTTCTTCAAACTTCTATTTGGTGGTCGTCCTCTTTTCATGATTTCAGATTTTTTGTTGAGTACATTTCCATCTAGTAACGAATTTTTTGAGGCAAGATGTTTACAAACAAAACTCTATTGTTGATACGTTAATCACAAACATGTGACTTTTAACCACATGTGCATAATGCAAAATTTTTATTTCAGTATTAGTTTTGTAATTATTTATTTCAGTATTAGTTTTGCCATAATGCATAATGACATAATACAATCCAATCGGATTGAGTCGACTCTAGATTTTAAACAAAGTTGGCCACAATAAGAATAAAATATATTCGACTTTTTTCGAGCTAGTGATATAGTAATACACTTTTTACCGTTCTAGAGTTGAGATATATAGTTACCAAAGTATGTGCTTGCACAAAGCTCATACAATAATTGACATAGGCCTACCACTTTTCCATAATTTCATACTACATAAATATTTTACCCTTTTCTTAGGATTTAAGCATGGATAGAACATGATAAAACATAGTCCCTTAGTAGATTTCCCATCCTTATGGAACAGCTGAAGCCAATTTTATTGTTAGTTCCGCCCGGTTTTCTGTAGATGTCGTGTTTGGTTTACAATTTGTTTCTTGTTATTTCAGTAATTTAAACCCTAGTTTAACCAAATAAAACTATCTAATCATAAACAATAACTCGTCCATTAGCTATATAACCAAACAGTGAGACACAAATAATGAGAAACTAACCCTAAAATAATAGAAACAGATTGTAGACAAAAACGACATCTACAGAAAACCGGACAGAACTACCAATAAAATTGGCTTCAGCTGTTCCATAAGGATGGGGAATCTAACCGTAGCATTTGAGTATTTTAGATACATTAATCCAACTGCCGCAGACGCTTCCTACACTCCGCACTGCTAGCCTTTACTACAAACATTGTATCCAGTAATCTTCAGCATAATCTTTGCTTAATAGTAACAACTGATGTTTTTGCTTTTGTACTGTATTTTGTAATTTCTAGTATACTGTGGGTAGATGTCTTTATGAACACATGTTTTAACTTACAAGTCTTTTGTTTACTTTTTCCTTGTTATTTAATTCTTCCAACATGGTTACTTAGCAACCCATAAGACTAATGTTAAAAAAATGTGACTTTCAGTTTCATTTTTCTACGTAATTAGATTTTTGTTGGCAGTTGTAACTGTAGTAAACTCGTTTTTAGGCCAAAAATAATCTATTTACAACATTTGAAGAAAATCGTCGGAGCCGTTTTCGAGATCTTGGTGCAAGCAAGCAAGCAAGCAAGCAAGCATACATACATACATACATACAAGCAAACATTGCTCGTATTAGAGTATAGGACAAGCAAGCAAGCATACATACATACATACATACAAGCAAACATTGCTCGTATTAGAGTATAGGATACAACAGATGTTATATTTCTACTTAGTGAATAGGGGATCGGGGCTTTCAGGCAATTAGGACGGTGGTGAGTGTGCGTGCGTGAGTCGGGTCCCTCGCAGGTAGGGCTGAGCTCCAGCCGCACTCCGGTAAAAATCAAACTATAATTTTAAAATCAAGAAATATTTCAACGGCTGTAATTTTTGACTCTGTTCTCTGTTTTTGAGTTCGGGTTTGATGCAATGTATTTTACTAGTAAAAACCTTTAATTGATGTGCAATTGTGCATCTTGACCTATGCTAACGTTTAGCGCCCTCCCCCCCCCCCCATAGGAGGTAATTTCTTACTGAATGATGTTTTTATGTTCAGTGACTTTGTTCCAAGTTTTGTAGCTCTTTAATATTTTTAAATATTTATCTTTCCCTGGACCGAAGTGTTAAAATGTTAAAAATATGTCCATTTTTTTACCTTTTGTAACTCTGTCACTGTTCACAATACCATGAAGGAGGCCCATTCTTGTTTCAAACTTATCGTAGATATTTTTTGTAAATTATGTATTTTGTACTAAACTTTAGTAGAACCTCGATTGTTCGACACTCCGTGTAGTTAGACCCAGGCTATAACATGACATGTCATCAGCAGCTGATGGTGGGTTTGCCAAGGTCAGAAACTAGAGCCTTATGGTTTTCATACAAGCAAAAGCTCAAAACTTAAAATGTACCATTGTTTTCCAGCATCCAAAGTGTAAATGCAGTTGAATATTACACACTTTTTTATACAGTGAGAAGACGAAGAATGTACAGTATTTTAGAGATGTGTGTTGATAAAGTTTGTTTATTTCTGTAAAGTTTAATACTATGAATCAAATTTGTTTGCTTTATCTTGTGTTTTAAATTTTAATACTCCTTGTGTGTAAATGTCAAATATACTCCCTTTAATTCAACATATCGATAGTTCAACACACCCTTAGTCCACAAAGAGTCAAACTATCGAGGTTCTACTGGACATGGTTTTTAAAATATTTAACTAAAACCATTGCTAAAACAAAAAAATGTTAATTTTTCAATAATTTTTGCTCCTTTTTGAAACCTGATGCTCAAAATGGTGTAAAACTTTACCAGGTTGGAGTCATAAGTTTCACTTTGAATGTTGAGGTTGGGTCGCTTTTTTTGCTAATTGAATTGCAACGTACTACTATTAGTGTTTTGGTCACTGGAGACATAAAATAAAAAGCAAATCAGTTCCTAGTTAAGGTCTTACCATGAGACCTACGTTACTTATTCCCTATATGAGAAATTCACTAACAACCAGAATTAATACAAAGAATAAGACACAACATGATCGGAAATTGTGTTTATGTTAATTCTCCTGTGAAAGAGCCTTTCAAAATATTTAGTACTGTTGTCAAACCACCCAAGTACGAGAGGTTTTCACAATAATTCAGTAGTTGAGACAATCTAGAATGTTGACAGGCTATAAAACACTTGTCAAAGATCAATCATTACCCACAATGCCCCAGTACAATGCTGCGTTACTGTCAGCAGCCGACTATTATGCTAACTTAAACCCGTAAAGTGTGATCCACTTGCCCCAATGTCACTGTTAAGGTGTTTCTAAGAATTATAGCCGTTATAACTGATGGTGTAGTAAACTTTCAAATACATTTCATACTGGTATGTTGTCAAGTTTGCTTACTGTGTACTTGTAGCAAAGAATTTCCTTTGTTCTAAAGCTATGCAAAAGTTTTTAATTTCTTTAAAGTTGGTAGCTGATTGGTTATAGAGCTCTTCTAGCTATTGAATATTATGACCGCAGCGCGAATTTCCATTCGCCTGATTGGATTTTTCTCAAATCTAAACATGTCAGATTTATCCCCCATTTAAATAACATTAGGTTTGATGTTACTCAGGTTTACAGGGCATGAAAAAGTTTTTTTGTGGCTAAAATACTAATGGTGTAAAAATGAAAATATTTTCACATATATTAACACTCTAAACAGATGGGCCTATGTGAACACTTCTGGATCACCAATATACCAATATAATGTTTTAAAAAGTACTCTCCTGAACTCTGAAGTAGTATAACGACAGGATACAAAATTGGCATTGTAGCTTATACAATTCAAAGCCAGGTGTTTCTTTAATACCAGTCGTTTCTCCTACCAAATGCAGGAATGTGCTTATAATCCTGAGTAACAACAGGGTACAGTCCGTACCTTGAGGCAACCTCCGCTAAGGTAGCTTATGATTGGTGAATCGTTTCATAGTCTATCGCCATTCGACATACATTAAACATACTCTGTGTAGATTTGCCATCTTTATGGATCAGCTGAAGACTTAAGGTAGTCCTTATAGTAGTTTCTCTGCGGTAAATTAAAGTGAGTTTTTTGGTGTTCACTATTTGTGATGAACCGGCAAATTATTTAACCGACTTAAACGTAACCATTTTATCAAAAAATGATTTGTAAACTATTGTAAATTTTACAATGAGACATTGATACACACTTAATATTTTAATTCAAGCTGAAATGTGTAGAGTAGAATCGAATACGAGACCTGTGGAGTTTTGATACTGATTAAGATCAGCTGATTTAGCCTAAATCTATACTTATTTAATACGCAAGCAGATCTTTTGTGACAATTACTCCCTCCGAAACTACTGAACCGATTGTCATGTTTTTGGTGTCATTGGAAAGAGTGTAACGTGAAGTTGTGCAGGAAACTTTGTTTTTCGGAAAATAATGAGAGAGTGAGGCCATGGAGAGTGAGGCCCATAGGCCAAGGTTTCATATTTCTCCATAAGATTAACATACCTTACCTCCTTGGCCACTCAAACCTAAGAAGGTTTTTGGCCTCGCCAACAAGTTGCCTCCACTGCTGCCGGTCTGCCGCCATGTCAAGAGATGCCCCCACTCTGTGTAGGTCTTTCTGGACTTGGTCTCTCCATCTCAAGTTCGGTCTTCCTAGCGGGCGAGTACCTCGTGGTTGTCCATTGGCAATCTTCTTAAGCATACTTTCTTCTTCCCTTCTTTCTACATGGCCTGCCCATCTCAGTCGTCTAATCTTCACTATGGCTACAATGTCCGGTTCTTTGTACAGTTCTCGGAGCTCTCGGTTTTTTCTTATTCGCCACATACCTTCTTCATTTATAGGTCCAAAAATCTTCCTCAAAATTTTGTTCTCAAAAATGATAAGTTTGTTTTTATGATTTTTAGTTAATGTCCATGTTTCCGAACCATATAAAAGGACTGGTTGAATTAAAGTTTTATAGATTCTTAATTTTGTGTTTTTGGATAGTATTTTTGAACTAAATATTTTTGATACGCCCCAGAAACATTTGGTTGCTGCAATCAGTCTCTTAAGGTTTTTTTGATAAGATTAACATTGCAAACAAAAATTGTTATGAAACCCCAGCTGTTGTCACAAATCAAAAGTGAGAAGAAGAGCGTTAATTGTAAACAGTCAATAAGTTTGCTAATTTAACAGTTTGCTACAAACTTGCTGACTTGGTTGAAATTCCTTTTGAAATAACGCCTGTAATACTTAGCAATTGCTCGAATTGAGCAACAGGGACACTAGTTATTTATAAAAAGCCCACCGATCAAGGACAGCTGTGTCCAGTTTGGAACAATAAAGTCTGACTTTCCTCAGGATTGAACCTGAAACATTTTTAGTAGGGAGCACCACTCAATGCAAATAGATCAGGAAAGCTGGTCAAAAATGAAATGGGGCATATTTTAATTACCTAAGTGTTACTCATCAAAGGTAACACTGGATACATTCCAGAGTCAGATATTACCATAATGACAGCAGCATTGCTTCACGCTTTGTCCAACACTATATTTACCAGACACATGGTAATTTGGAGCATTACCATTCTTCAGTGTGAGTTAGTCACTCGCCCCTGGCTACCAGCTCTGCTGATGTCATGTGCTTTTAGGTTAGTGGGTGGCAGTATCATGGGCAGAAATAGAAAGTTATTTATTGATTCGTTGTCATATTTTGATTTTTCCCATGAGAAATGTGAAATTTTTCTCAAAGATTCCCTCATTCACCATTGGGGCCTTGCGTGGTGTTTTTTATATAGCACTAAAAAATAAGTTACCTTGCAATATTGTGATGATCATTATCAAGTGAACTTGACCAGTGTAGTTTAGATGAAGGAAAGACACCCAGTAGGTACTGTAGCAGTTGCCACACGCAGAGTTGTCGTGGTGATAAAGAAGTTCCGTCCAAGGCGCCGTGTATACATTTAGAGGCGTATTATCATAAAACAGAAGTAATCAGCGAACATATCGCAAATAATTACGTTGGTACACCTGCGCTGTTGCCCGCTGCCAACATTCTTGTGTGGAAACCGAGGCATATAATGGCGGGAACCGACACTGCCTCAAAGATAGTATCACGGTCGTATATTTGTGATACAAAGTATAGGAATATGGTATGGCTTTCAAAACATTTGGCTATTCAATTAGCTATCTGGCTATTTAATTTAGGAATCATGGTTTCAAAATTCGCCATCGTTTCTGCAGAGTGTAGACAATCTTTGCGGCACTTTTAATCGGGACATTTCAACATCAGCGGATCAATTTTTTGTCAGAGAAAAACGTTCTTATCCAAGTATTTTTCCCTTTAGGGATGAAAAGAAATACTTTAACGCGGCTTGAAAACCACAGTTTTTATTGCAATGTGACCAAATAGTATCACTAGGGCCTCACACGAGCAACGACCAAAGCGAAGCCCGAGGTTAATAAGTGATCCGACTAAGTGAGGGAGGGATAAGACGCAATTATGGTCCGAGTGATGTGATGGACTATATTTTTCGTTATATCACAAATCGTTATCGTTATTAAATAACATGGGTAGTTGTAACGTTTTAGAAACAGCAAGGATTACTCCTCCAACACGATATCCACAACGATTATAAACACAAAAACTTATTGATAAGAATATTTTGATTAATCGCCAATGGACTGTTTTCTTGGCAAAATCAGCGGATGTTAAAGTAAAAAAATGCACAACTGAAGTCCTCAGCTCCAGTGCATACAACCATAGATTAAAGGAGTATAGACAATACAACTACAGAATATAAATATGTACCATCAATTATCAATTGAGAAGGGGACACCATCTAGTTGCGTGTTTTACCCAAATATGATGAAGGATGGAGTGAGATGATCTTAGTAAGTTTTTACTGTATATCAGCTGTTCCATACAACGCATCTGACTTCAGACCCAACGAATGTAATGAAAACATTTCCTATAGTATGACGAAAACGTTTTTTTACTCGCTCAAGGTCGCTAAACTGATCACTTCCAATGTCCAGTCTCCACTTACGCTAATTGCAGACTATCAGCTGAGCAGGTGCCGGTTTTACGCGCCATTTCCTAGTTTACGCTCGCTTTATCAACAGCTGTTTATGACCACCATTGTTGCCGAGGTTCATTTGTTACGATGGAGGGCAATCGACTGTGAAATTACTTGTTTAATGACTTCTTCAACGAAACACTTCGCGGACCTCAGTATGGTCTAGACTGGACGTGTTACGGTGTTGTGTTTCTTAAATGGACAATCAAAACAATTAGTTTATGAAAAATGGGTGAATTTCTACTTAGATCAACGAAGCAAATCATACATCTTTTCTAAAGGGCAGCTACTAAAACTTGCAAAATACAAATTGATTAGGTCAAGTCAGGTTTTAGGTTGTTTTATATATCACTTTGATTTGCACAGGGGAATTTGGCGGGTCCCTTCTTGAAAGTTTCCTTTACTGTAGTAATCATTTTGTTGATTACTGCGTGGATGAGTATTTAATAGATTAATTTATTGCTATATGGTCTAAAATATGTTTTGGCTCTTGTGATGAACTAAGTTTGTCGTCATACTGTACAAAACGCAAATATAGTACGATGTTTCCGAGTAAATTATCTTCCAAAACGGTTTCCATTGGTTGGCCTTTGACGAATATATGTTACCTATTTAAATGCATTAAGTTTTATTCCAAGAAAGCAATAAAATACAATTACCGAACAACTTTAAACTTACCCAAATGTGTGTAAAAGTTGATATCACTCCCAATTGGAGATTTTATCAGTTTACAATTGGGATTAATAACAGTTGTCACTAGTCCGTTCGTGTAAATAATTTGCAAGTGTGACATCTTAAACGAATCTTCCTATATTGTTGTAGGCAACAAATACCATAACAGCTATATTATGGCCACAGTGACAGGGTACAGCAGTTACAGCTGTAGAGGTGATGAGTTTATGGTTCTATTCTAGTTTCCTCGTGTGACAGTCGCTGAATGATGGATTAATGAGTGATGACGTCATACCCGGTAATGTCTATAGATAGCAACACTCGACACATCTATATCACGCCGTCAAGTTAGCGAGTTCCCGCAGGGGGCCCATGCTTGCGTGGGTACGTGGCCTGGCGACCACGCGGACCCTAGCTCTTGACCCCCAGAGGGGAGGTAACTGCCCGGTGTTGGAACCAGCACTCAGGTAGACCACAGTTATGGACGACTGGATGTGCCAGTCCCTTCGGGGGAGCCCCCAGTGACATTCCATCATCCAGGATGGTAGGGTGTTCAGCTCTCAGTGATGCCGCTTCTTGCCGCCTCTCCTCATCTGCCTGTGGCTGTGGTTCTTGGGCTTAGTCCTGCCTGATGTGTATGACTAACATTATGTGTGGCATATCCTCGGCTCTGGAAGTAGCCTCTTCCTGGGAGGTTAAAGACGGGCAAGTAAGTCCCCGAAGGAGAGGTAACTGTCCGGTGTTGGAATCGGCATTTCAAGTAGGCCATAGTCACAGACGTCTGGTAAGCGCCAGCCCCTTAGGGGGAGCCTCCAGTAACATTCTTCCATCCAGGTCGGTCGGGTGTTTAGCTCTCGGAGAGGTGGAAGTGCGCCATCAATCTCCCATCTACCTGTGACTATGGTTCTTTGGGCTTCGGCCTGCTTGCTCTGTGCGACCAGCATTCTGTGGGGCAAATCCTCGACTTTGGAAGTAGCCTTTCCTGGAGGTGAAATCGGGCAAGTACCCGTAAGCTCACGGGGACACTCTAGGGGAACGTAACTTTCCGCAGTGTGAGGGTAACGGCTGGGCGCACTCCATCAGCCAATCCCTGTCTCTGAGACCGGAAGGTATGGTTACCTAGAGTGTGGGGGGTTCTCCCTGGAACCTCAATTGAGTTAAGGGTGTCGCCACCTTTGGTGGATAGGTTCATCCGGGTGGGTCCCACTTCTATACCTGCCTCCTTTTGGGAAACCCTGATGGCCTGGCAGTGATGTTGGGCTAGATGGGCAAACGAAGTAGATCGGGTGTTGGGATCAAGCCCGCCATGGGTATCTGGGGATCTATCGCCCTGGTTATCTCTGGTTCTTTCGGGCCAGATCGGCTAGTGGTGCAAATAGGGGGTTGGGGTTCCCCCATCAGCTTGCTGATGGTCCCCTTCCTCCTGGCTTTGATGGCGGGTCTTGGCCTGTCAGGGATTGGATAGGTCCCGAGTGTTGCTTGCACTAAATGCGTCAGGGCGCTCCATTGCGATTCTTCAGGGTTTCGTACCAGGTGGATTCTAGGTGGAGTGACGTTTAAACAAGTAGCCGGTATCCCTGGTTAGGATTGAGGGGAAACCCTCTCTCCGAAGGGTTGCTTCGGCAGCTGGTGAGCCTGATGACCTTAAGTCATCCTCCCATGATGTGCCAAAGGTTGGTGCATTTGCTTCGGCCTACATCATGGGGTCCGGTTGTGTTTAATTATAGGTACCGGGTTTGAAATCGGAGGGTTTCTGGCTCTTACGATAAAACGAATCGAATCGAATCGTCAAGTTAGCAACATCAGTTGCAACTAAGTTACACTGATACGCAGCTAAGCTACAACAGTAACAAAGTACCACTAAAATGATCAAATCAGCTCTACACCATAGAAAACATAACTAACTATAGTATGTTTTCTGTGTCCACACTGAGTTTAACCAGCAACACATCCGACATAGTAACACTCATACTAAACTGAATGGCAACAAAGTTGCTTAGCAACCATGCGATCAACCCCCATGGTAATAAGGTGCTTAGTACCTCCGTTACCAAGCAACAAAGCACAACAACAAAACAGTAACTAAGTTTTTTTT